CAACGCTAGACCCCACTTCGTTTGATTATTAATATTGTGTCATGGTTCTTAGTTGCATACATTCACTCTTCTTTGTCTCTTTCTCTTTCTCTCTCTCTCTCTCCCAGACTCTCGCTGCTCGAAAGGCAGGCATCTCGTTCGCCCTGGTGACTAGATCGACCCTGAACAATGAGGACCTGGTAGGTCACCCCACTCACTGCCTTCATGTAAATCACTGGACAATCAGATCACCCAGGGGTAAAGATGGGGAGGGACTAATGTGATGGGCCATGCATAAAGGCAACAACACTGCCACGGTTTGAGGAGGGTGTGTGTGTGTGTATGTGGGGGGTTAAGGGGGCACACAGAGCTGGGGTTGGGGGGGCTTTGACACATACAGACACGGACCCCTGCAGCCATGTTAAAACTGTCAGTGTGTGTGTGTGTGTGTGTGTGTGTGTGTGTGTGTGTGTGTGTGTGTGTGTGTGTGTGTGTGTGTGTGTGTGTGTGTGTGTGTGTGTGTGTGTGTGTGTGTGTGTGTGTGTGTGTGTGTGTGTGGCTTTCATTGCATCCGTCCAACGAGCGTGTGTGTGTGTTCAGAGATGAATGTCACAAGACCTGCATGGCATTGTACTCGAACTGTCCAGGATCTAAAGATTAGCTAGAAGCTAGATATATATGGTCAGACTAAATGACTCTATTTCATGACTTTATGGACTCGCTTGCGTCAGTAGCTTGTGTCTGTAAAGTCAGACTAGATTAGCCTGTTTCATCACTGTAGAGAGTAGATTAGCTATATTAGCTTGTCAGTACAGTAGGAATGAACAGGTAGACAGTAATGTTGCTGAGAGACAATCTGCTTAATGATGAACACTGCTGTGCTTGTAACGAGGAGAGAGGAGAGAGTGATGAGAGGAGAGAGGAGAGAGAGAGAGAGAGAGGATAGAGAGGAGAGAGAGAGAGGAGAGAGAGAGAGAGAGAGAGAGGAGAGAGAGATAGGAAGAGAGAGAGAGAGAGACAGAGAGAGAGGAAGGGAGAGAGAGGAAGAGAGATGAGAGAGAGAGAGAGGAGAGAGAGAGAGATAGAGAGAGAGAGAAAGAAACATCTTAATCGATGGAGGGAGAATTTGTCTTCCTTTCCGCTGACCTCCAGAGCTTTCTGCTTTAATTGATTGCAATCCTCCTTTCCTTCCCTCCCTCCATTCCTCTCCTCCCACTAAATAAATAAAGACAGTTGGATGGGATGCTACATTTCCTAATATCACTAATGCCATACCAGTAATGCAGTCTATCACAATACAGTTTACCACAGAAATGGTCATTATTGTAGGTAACTATTACGTTAACGTATAATGTAGGTAGGTAACGTTATTACACTGTCAAAGTGGCGCACAATTGGGGCGGCGCACAATTGACCCAGGGTAGGGGAGGGAATGGCCGGATGGGATGTAGCTCAGTTGGTAGAGCATGGCGTTTGCAACGCCAGGGTTGTGGGTTCGATTCCCACGGTATGAAAAAATTAAAAATAATAATAATGTATGCACTCACTAACTGTAAGTCGCTCTGGATAAGAGCGTCTGCTAAATGACTAAAATGTAAATGTAAAGTAATTTTTATGATTGTGTTATTACAGTAGTGTAGTTAACTGTATTACAGTTATGTAGTTCAGTGGTTATCAAACCTCTCCTCAGGACCCCCAGATGTTTCTGAATTTTTTTGTAGCCCTGAACTAGCTCACCTGATTAACCTATTCAAGAGCTTGATAATTAGTTGACGAGTTGAATCAAGTGAACTAGCTTTAGAATTGTTCAAATAAATGGGACGGCTGGGGGTCCCCGAGAAGAGTCTTGAAAACCCCTGTTGTAGTTAATCAGAGTATAACTGCAGAATGTGAGATCTGTAGTCCCATGTGTAGCTGCATATTATGGGATCTGTAGTCCTTAGTGTAGCTGCAGTTGGGAGAAGTAGTCCTTGGCTGCAGATTATTTTGTGGTTTTAAGTAGGACGAGCAGATGTTGGTGTTTTATCTACTAAATTGACAAGAGAACATCCCTAAGAGAACTGTATCTCAGATTACACTGTAAACACCCATATGCTGTTGAGAGGAGAGGAGAAAAGGAGGAGAGGAGAGAGGGAGGAGAGGGGAGGAGAGAGGGAGGAGAGGAGAGGAGAGGAGAGAGGGAGGAGAAGAGAGGAAAGGAGATAGGGATGAGAGGAGAGGAGAGAGGGAGGAGAGGGGAGGAGAGAGGGAGGAGAGGAGGGAGAGGAGCAGGAGAGGGAGGAGAGGAGAGGAGAGGAGAGGAGAGGGAGCAGATGAGGAGAGGAGAGGACGGCGAGAGGAGAGAGGAGAGGAGAGGAGATGAGACGGAGAGGAGAGGAGACGGAGGAAGGGATGCGGATGACGAGCGAGAGGAGGGAGAGGAGACCCGAGGAGGGAGAGGAGAGGAGAGAGGAGGAGAGAGGAGAGGAGAGGAGAGGAGAGGAGAGGAGAGGAGAGGAGAGGAGAGGAGAGGAGAGGAGAGGAGAGGAGAGGAGAGGAGAGGAGATAGGGATGAGAGGAATGGAGAGGAGAGAAAAAGGGGGGAAGAGGAGAGAGGGAAGAGGGAAGAGAGATTAGAGGAGATAGGGAGGAAAGGAGAGGGTATAAGAGGAGAGCGGGAGGAGAGGAGTAGTAATGGAGAGAAGAGGAGAAGAGAAGAGAGGGGCATGGGGGAGGATTGAGAAACGAATGAGAGAAGGAGGAGAGGATAGAAAAGAAGCAAGAGAGGAGAGGAGAGTGGAGTGACGGTGTCACAGTGAGCCAGTCAGGTGTCTCTGATGTCATTAATCCAGCAGCAGGGAGAAAGACAAGCTAGTACATTCAGGACAGATGTTTCGGCCAACTACCCCCCTCCCCTTCTCTCCGTCTCTTTTATCCCGCTCTCTCTCTCTCTTTTCTCTCTCTATCCCTCTCTTTTATCTCTCTCTGCTTTGCCTTTTGGAGCAGAAAGATCAGGCAGAGGATGACTGTCTGTGTGTCTGTCTTCAGAACTGGAAATCTCTACACATAAAAAAATGCACACTAACTGGACAATACATTATATACACTGGCGTTGGGGAACCTGCCAAGTTGATATCTACCGTAGTTGGTAACTGTTTACTTTGACTACATATCCATTTATTATACATCTATAAGCATTTCATGAATGTGTTATTACAGGTCACACCCGAATTATTAAAGGTTAATGATAAATATCCATAGCATATCTATAGCGCATTCATGTCATGCAATGCAAGAGCTTATTTTTAGGTATCTTAATAGATGCATCATTACAATGACAGCGTAGTGTCATCATTATGGCTGTTCTCAAAAGTGTGCTTCTGCCATACCAGTGTTAGTTAATATGCTAAAAGTCCAAACCACGTTTTGAAAATGATGCTAATATATTGCCTGTAACAGCTCCATTTCCCGGTAAAGGTCCGTGATTTACCTTCTTATTTTTCAATGGTGCTTGAAGATCCCCACAGGGTTGATTCCTCAGGGTACATATTACGGATCAAATGGTGTATTTGAGTGTCATATCATAACTCTTTCATAACTCTTGAACAACCCTCCCCCACATCACAATTAAGTTGGTCATACTGGTCTATAACGCACACATCAAGGGTCTATGTATGAATTCTATGCAGGCAATCACGGTCCTGTACCGGCTATATATCAGCATCATTTTCAAAACGTGGTTTGGTCTTTTAGCATATTAACTAACACTGGTATGGCAGAAGCACACTTTTGAGAACAGCCATAATGACGACACTACGCTGTCATTGTAATGATGCATCTATTAAGATACCTAAAAATAAGCTCTTGCATTGCATGACATGAATGCGCTATAGATATGCTATGGATATATTTCATTAACCTTTCATAATGCAGTTGGGACCTGTTATAAGATGTTCATGAAATGCTTATAGATGTGTAATAAATGGATGTAGTCAGAGTAAATCGTTACCAAACAGGGTATCTATCCCAGGAGGCTCAGATATAGGCCTTACCCACAAATCAACAAGATATGTGTGTGACAAAATGGGTTTGAACCATGGCCATGCATTTTCGTGCCACAAGACTGTGTTAGCCCTCTGAGCTAATGCTTCGGCACTGTCACGTCAGATTCTGATGTCTATCCACTGAAGACTGCCATGACACATTATTAACCAAGTTACATAACATGATATTGTCACGTTACCGATGTGGATGTGGTGGAGGAGTCAGGCGCAGGACACTGAGGTAAAGTCCAACAGTATATTTAATAGTCCAAAGAAACTGGAAAACCTCTGACCTCAAAAACACAAAGAGGCGAGGGAGAATTACGCACACGCATAAACACTAAACACAAAACTAACAGGGAGCAAAGACGTAGCTCCGACACTGAGGCAGTAAAAATAACAACACACAATAATACTAACACAAAACAAGGAACTTATAGGGCACGCAATCAACACACAAATGGCCACAGGTGATACAGACAGACAAAAGCAATCGACTGACGAAACATAGAGCGGTGGCAGATAGTAACTACGGGGACGGCGGCTCTCTGCTTATCGAGAGAGTCGAGAGAGAGAGAGAGAGGAGAGAGAGAGAGAGAGAGAGACGAGAGAGAGAGAGAGAGAGGAGAGCTCGCGAGCGATGCTAGCTCAGGAGATAGTCGAGCGAGCTACGAGTAAGCAGATAGAGAGCTAGATATGATTATATAGCGTCGAGATAGATATGCTCTCTGTCTCGCTCTCTCTCTCTCTCTCGCTCTCTCTCCCTCTCTCTCTCTGCTCTATCTCTCTCTCTCTTCTCCTCTCTCTCTCTCTCTCTCTCTCTCTCTCTCTGTCAGAGATACAGCAGCTAGCTAGCAGCTAAAAGACATGCAGACAGCTGGTAGCCGGCAGGTTTTGTTCCTGAAAGTTACAGTAAGGATGTGACTCACCTGATACTTCTCCAGGTCTGACAGGCCAGGATTAAACAGGACAGGGAATAGGGGGATTACAAAAGAGGGGATGAAAGAGAAGAGGAATGGGAAAAGGGTAGAGGGGGATACTCTTATCTAGGGCTCTCCTCTGGGATATAGTTTTAAAGGGCTCAGCAGCCTGCTCTGTGGTGTGTGAGTGTGTGTGTGAGTGTGCGTGTGTTTGTGTGTGTGTGTGTGTGTGTGTTATGCAGCTCAGCAGCCAGCCAGTAGATGTGATGATGAAGAGGGTTTCCTGGCCTGGTCAGGAGCCATGTGTGTCACAGAGATCACTCCTCTGCAGCTGCCTCCTCACAACCTCCTCAGATTAAAACACCAGTCATATTCTTTCCCTCAGGACCCAGTATGTGGGTGGGTGTGTGAGGATTGCTGAACGGCCTGTGGCTGTAAGACTTGTTGTCATTAAGGCCCTGTGGTGGCCTGCAGAGGCTGGGGGCAACAGCACCACCTTACATCAGCAGCGAGAACTGTGTGTGTGTGTGTGTGTGTGTGTGTGTGTGTGTGTGTGTGTGTGTGTGTGTGTGTGTGTGTGTGTGTGTGTGTGTGTGTGTGGTGGGGGGGGGACTTTAGATCATCAGGAAGAGTCAGTGGTTTCAATACTGCTGCCTCTAATGGAGCTGTGGGGGTCTTGAAAGTACTGTGTGTGTGGTGTGTGTGTGTGTGTGTGTGTGTGTGTGTGTGTGTGTGTGTGTGTGTGTGTGTGTGTGTGTGTGTGTGTGTGTGTGTGTGTGTGTGTGTGGTGGGGGGGGGGGACTTTAGATCATCAGGAAGAGTCAGTGGTTTCAATACTGCTGCCTCTAATGGAGCTGTGGGGGTCTTGAAAGTACTGTGTGTGTGTGTGTGTGTGTGTGTGTGTGTGTGTGTGTGTGTGTGTGTGTGTGTGTGTGTGTGTGTGTGTGTGTGTGTGTGTGTGTGTGAAGGAGTAAAGTCATTTAGAGTGAGGGGAGGGAAGGAGGAGTGGAGGCTGGGAGAGGGAGGGAGGGAGGGAGGGAGGGAGGGGGGAGGGGAAGTACTCAATAGAGAAATTGCCGTCGTCTCTGGGAGGGCAGTATGTCACCTCTCTACGTCTCTCTCCTCTCTGACACACACTGTAAAAGGCAAATTTACTGCACCCATTGATTCTTTCAGTACAGTGGCTGGCAACGCTCACTAGGGATTCAAGCCTTTGCGTTCATTCTCCAGCAGCACGGCGAATCACAGCGAAACACACACACACACATCACACAAACATGCATGCAGGCAAGTCAATTCAAAGAGCTTTATTGGAATTGGAAACATGTTTACATTGCCAAAGCAAGTCGAATAAATAATTCACAAAAGTGAAATAAACAATCAGAAATTAACCGTAAACATTACACTCGCAGTCTGCGTTCCAATTCATCCCAAAGGTGTTCGATGGGGTTGAGGTCAGGGCTCTGTGCAGGCCAGTCAAGTTCTTCCACAACCGATCTCAACAAACCATTTCTGTATGGACCTGGCTTTGTGCACGGGGGCATTGTCATGCTGACAGAGGAAAGGATCTTCCCCAAACTGTTACCACAAAGTTGGAAGCACAGAATTGTCTAGAATATCATTGTATGCTGTAGCGTTAAGATTTCCCTTCACTGAAACTAAGGGGCCTAGCCCGACCATGATAAACAGCCCCAGACCATTATTCCTCCTCCACCAAACTTTACAGTTGGCACTATGCATTGGGGCAGGTAGCGTTCTCCTGGCATTCGCCAAACCAAGATTTGTCCGTCAGACTTACAGATGGTGAAGCGTGATTCATCGCTCCAGAGAACGCATTTCCACTGCTCCAGAGTCCAATAGCTGCGAGCTTTACACCACTCCAGCTGACGTTTGGCATTGCGCATGGTGATCTTAGGCTTGTGTGCGGCTGCTCGGCCATGGAAACCCAGTTCATGAAGCTCCCAACTAACAGTTATTGTGCTGACGTTGCTTCCAGAGGCAGTTTGGAACTCGGTAGTGAGTGTTGCAACCGAGGACAGACGATTTTTATGTGCTACGCGCTTCAGCACTCAGTGGTCCCGTTCTGTGAGCTTGTGTGGCCTACCACTTCGCGGCTGAGCCGTTGTTGCTCCTAGACGTTTCCACTTCACAATAACAGCACTTACAGTTGACTGGGGCAGCTCTAGCAGGGCATAAATTTGTCGAACTGACTTGTTGGAAAGGTGACATCCTATGATGGTGCCACGTTGAAAGTCACTGAGCTCTTCAGTAAGGTCTTCTCCTGCCAATGATTGTCTATGGAGATAGCATGGCTGTGTGCTCGATTTTATACACCTGTCAGCAACAGGTGTGGCTGAAATAGCCGAATCCATTCATTTGAAGGGGTGTCTACATACTTTTGTATATCTATGGTATTTCACCTAATAGATATGGGATTTTATCAAAATTGGACTTGTTTTCAAATTCTTTGTGGGTCTGTGTAATCTGAGGGAAATACTGTATGTGTCTCTGATATAAATCAAATCAAATTGTATTTGTCACATACACGTGTTTAGCAGATGTTATAGCGGGTGTAGCGAAATGCTTGTGCTTCTAGCTCCGACAGTGCAGTAATATCTAACAATTACACAACATATACTGTACCCAATACACACAAAAAAGTAAGGAATGGGATTTAAGAATATATACATAAGAAAAACTTGATTTATTTCAGTAATTGCATTCAAAAGGTGTAACTTGTACATTATATTTATTCATTGCACACAGACTGATGCATTCAAATGTTTATTTCATTTAATTTTGATGATTTGAAGTGGCAACAAATGAAAATCCAAAATTCCGTGTGTCACAAAATTAGAATATTGTGTAAGGGTTACATTTTGAAGGCACCTGGTGCCACAAAATAATCAGCTGATTAACTCAAAACACCTGCAAAGGGCTTTAAATGGTCTCTCAGTCCAGTTCTGAAGCCTACACAAACATGGGGAAGACTTCAGATTTGACAGCTGTCCAAAAGGCGACCATCGACACATTGCACAAGGAGGGAAAGACACAAAAGGTTATTGCAGAAGAGGCTGGCTGTTCTCAGAGCTCTGTGTCCAAACACATTAATAGAGAGGCAAAGGGAAGGAAAAACTGTGGTCAGAAAAAGTGTACAAGCGATAGGGATCACCGCGCCCTAGTCAAGATTGTGAAAAAAAAAACCATTGAAAAATGTGGGGGAGATTCACAAGGAGTGGACAGCTGCTGGAGTCAGGGCTTCAAGATCCACCACCAAGAGACGCTTGAAAGACATGGGTTTCAACTGCCGCATACCTCGTGTCAAGCCACTGTTGACCAAGAAACAGCGCGAAAAGCGTCTCACCTGGGCTAAGGAAAAAAAGAGCTGGACTGCTGCTGAGTGGTCTAAAGTCATGTTTTCTGACGAAAGCAAATTTTGCATTTCCTTTGGAAATCGAGGTCCCAGAGTCTGGAGGAAGACAGGAGAGGCACAGGATCCACGTTGCCTGAAGTCTAGTGTAAAGTTTCCACCATCAGTGATGGTTTGGGGTGCCATGTCATCTGCTGGTGTCGGTCCACTCTGTTTCCTGAGATCAAGGGTCAACGCAGCCGTCTACCAGCAAGTTTTAGAGCACTTCATGCTTCCTGCTGCTGACCTGCTCTATGGAGATGGAGATTTCAGGTTCCAACAGGACTTGGCGCCTGCACACAGCGCAAAATCTACCCGTGCCTGGTTTACGGACCATGGTATTTATGTTCTAAATTGGCCAGCCAACTCCCCTGACCTTAGCCCCATAGAAAATCTGTGGGGTATTGTGAAAAGGAAGATGCAGAATGCCAGACCCAACAACGCAGAAGAGTTGAAGGCCACTATCAGAGCAACCTGGGCTCTCATAACACCTGAGCAGTGCCAGAAACTCATCGACTCCATGCCACGCCGCATTAATGCAGTAATTGAGGCAAAAGGAGCTCCAACCAAGTATTGAGTATTGTACATGCTCATATTTTTCATTTTCATACTTTTCAGTTGGCCAACATTTCTAAAAAATCCCTTTTTTGTATTAGCCTTAAGTAATATTCTAATTTTGTGACACACGGAATTTTGGATTTTCATTTGTTGCCACTTCAAATCATCAAAATTAAATGAAATAAACATTTGAATGCATCAGTCTGTGTGCAATGAATAAATATAATGTACAAGTTACACCTTTTGAATGCAATTACTGAAACAAATCAAGTTTTTCAAAATATTCTAATTTACTGACTTTTACCTGTATATGGACAAGCAATGACAGAGCGGCATGGACTAAGATACAGAAGAATATTATAGAATAGATGCAGTATATATATATGAGATGAGTAGTGCAAGATATGTAAACATTATTAAAGTGACTAGTGTTCCATTTCTTAAAGTGGCCAGTGATTTCAATAGACAGCAGCAGCCTCTAATGTGCTAGTGATGGCTATTTAACAGTCTGATGGCCTTGAGATAGAAGCTGTTTTTCTCTCGGCCCCAGCTTTGATGCACCTGTACTGACCTCGCCTTCTGGATGATAGCGGGGTGAACAGGCAGTGGCTCGGGTGGTTGATGTCTTGATGATCAAGTTACCGTACCAGGCGGTGATACAGCCCGACAGGATGCTCTCAATTGTGCATCTGTAACAGTTTGTGAGGGTTTTAGGTGATAAGCCAACTTTCTTCAGCCTCCTGAGGTTGGGGAGGCTCTGTTGTCCTTCTTCACCACACTGTCTGTGTGGGTGGACCATTTCAGTTTGTCGGTGATGTAAAGCCAAGGAACTTGAAGCTTTCCACCTTCTCCACTGCGGTCTCGTCGATGTGGATAGGGTGGTGCACCCTCTGCTGTTTCCTGAAGTCCACAATCATCTCCTTTGTTTTGTTGATGTTGAGTGAGAGGTTATTTTCCTGGCACCATATAGTCATTGGCAGGAGGTTAGGAAGTGCAGCTCAGTTTCCACCTCATCTTGTGGGCAGTGGGCATGTAGCCTGTCGTCGAGAGAGTCAAGTCTGCCTATGGTGGCCTCTGTCAATAGCAAGGCTATGCTATCTACATAGTCAAAGCTTTCCTTAATTGTGGGTCAGTCACAGTGGTCAGGTATTCTGCCACTGTGTACTCTCTGTTTAGGGCCAAATAGCATTCTAGTTTGCTTTGTTTTTTGGTTAGTGTCAAGTAATTATCTTTTTTGTTTCTCATGATTTGGCTGGGTTGAATTGTGTTGCTGTCCTGGGGCTCTGTGGGGTCTGTTTGTGTTTGTGAACAGAGCCCCAGGACCAGCTTGCTTAGGGGACTCTTCTCTAGGTTAATCTCTCTGTACGTGATGGCTTTGTTATGGAAGGTCTGGTAATCGCTTAACGGCTCTTTTCTGGATTTTTATAATTAGCTGGTATCATCCTAATTCTGCTCTTCATGCATTATTTGGTGTTTTACGTTGTACACTGAGGGCATATTTTCAGAATTCTGCAGTCTCAATTTGTTTTTTCTCCAATTCTGTGAATACTTGGTTGGTATTCAGACCCCAGACCTCACAATTTTAGAGGATAATGGGTCCTATATCTCATTTAAGTATTTTTTGCCAGATCCTAATTGGGATGTCAAATTGTATGTTCCTTTTGATGGCGTAGATGGCCCTTCTTACCTTGTCTCTCAGATTGTTCACAGCTTTATGGAAGTTACCTGTGGTGCTGATGTTTAGGCCAAGGTAGGTATTAGAGGTGTTATACTCCTCATACTCGTATTCATAATCCTATCCGTTTTATTACACTTGATACTCGTAATCAGATTTACTTGTAATCGGAAAACCCGGAAGTGCGCTTTAAAGTCCGGTAAAGCCTATACCTCAAGTGCACATTACTGCGCGATCACTCAGAGCGCATCTCAGAGTGCATTGTTATGTTCCTTCACTCATTCACACATTGTGTTCAAAGGTAAACGACCCCCGACAGATGAAAATGCACATGATTTACTTACCTAGTCCTATTCAATTATCAATGAAATAGCCTAATATATGGCTGGTAGATGAAGGTAGGCTAATTCACTTGCCCCATCTATTGTTTCACTTTCGAGAGGAGCAAAACTTATCTCCCGACACTTATGCCTCAACATTTGTGCAATCAAACAATCTAGATTTGTCATTTTAATTTCTAATGACCTGTCGCTCGGTAAACATGCCTGGGGGAGAATAAATTGTCATAGCAAGCAAGCATGGGCTTGGATCACGACATAACAACAGACTTCGTCAGCAATGGAATAATTACAAAGACAGACAAAGTAGGCCTACTAAACAATTCCAAGTAGACAGACAAAAACAACCATATGGCCTCAGCAAAGTCAACAGGAATTTACTAGATTGAACAACAATGACTAGCTATGGATTCTGATTCATACACAATGTATGGAGAAGGGAACACTTGTGCCCTGAGGCGAGTGACTGTGAATGAGTGAAACAGAGCCGCGCTTGTCTGTCTGGGCAAATGAGAGCAGAGGGAGTGCGGCTTGTTCTAATCCAATCGTTGCAGCAGGCTCAACCGATAACCTGCCCGTTTCTTTAAAGACAGATGAACTAGCCAATAGTTGTTTAGCGCACACAGCGTTTCAATCTCTTTGAGTGAAAGAGAGATGCGTGCTGACAGCTGAACATTTCTTTTTTCGATAAGGAATAATTACAGGAAATACTTGTCACAATCGTATCCGAATATTCTCCATATCCGTTACGATACTTGTTCTGTCTGAGTACTCGGCACACCCATAGTAGGTATAGTTTTTTGTGTGCTATAGGGCAACGGTGTCTAGATGGAATTTGTAAACTAAATTAGTAAACTTTCCTGAACCAACACTTCCACTTCTAGCTCTGACTTTGCTAATAACTACTTTATTGAGGAAGGGTGTACTTACTATGCCTGTGATATGTGGTTGTCCCACCTAGCTATCTTACATTTACATTTTAGTCATTTAGCAGACACTCTTATCCAGAGCGACTTACAGGAGCAATTAGGGTTAAGTGCCTTGCTCAAGGGCACATCGACAGATTTTTCACCTAGTCGGCTTGGGGATTAGAACCAGCAACCTTTCAGTTACTGGCACAAAGCTCTTAACCACTAAACTACCTGCCATTCCTAAGATGAATGCACTAACTGTAGGTCGCTCTGGATAAGTGCGTCTACTAAATGACTAAAATGTAAAATGTAAAAATGTATTTGTGGTCCTGGCAACTGGACATTTTTTGGAACACCATTATTTTGGTCTTACTGAGATTCACTTTCAGGGCCCAGGTCTAGCAAAATCTGTGTAGAAGACCTAGGTGTTGCTGTAGGCCCTCCTTGGTTGGGGACAGAAGCACCAGATCATCATCAAACAGAAGACATTTGACTTTAAATTCTAGTAGGTTGAGGCCAGGTGCTGCAGACTGTTCTAGTGCCCTCGCCAATTTGTTGATATACGTATATGTTGAAGAGGGTGGGGCTCAAGCTGCATCCCTGTCTCACCCAATGGCCCTGAGGATAGAAATATATGTGTTTTTTGCCAATTTTAACCACTTTCCATCAATTTATACAGCAGACCCTCATGCCAAATTGAGTCAAAAATCAACAAAGCATGAGAAGACTGTGCTTTTGTTTTGTTTTGTTTGTTTGTCAATTTGAGTGTGCAGGCTGAATACGTGGTCTGTCATACGATAATTTGGTAAAAAGCCATTTTGACATTTGCTCCGGACATTGTTTTCACTGAGGAAGTGTAGGAGTCTGCTCTTAATGATAATGCAGATGATTTTCCCAGGGTTGCTGTTGACGTATATCCCACGGTAGTTATTGGGGTGGAATTTCTCTCCACTTCTGTGGATTGGAATGATCAGTCCTTGTTTCCAAATATTGGGGAATATACAGTGGGGGAAAAAAAGTATTTAGTCAGCCACCAATTGTGCAAGTTCTCCCACTTAAAAAGATGAGAGAGGCCTGTAATTTTCATCATAGGTACACGTCAACTATGAGAGACAAATGAGGAAAAAAAATCCAGAAAATCACATTGTAGGATTTTTAATGAATTTATTTGCAAATTATGGTGGAAAATAAGTATTTAAGTATTTGGTCACCTACAAACAAGCAAGATTTCTGGCTCTCACAGACCTGTAACTTCTTCTTTAAGAGGCTCCTCTGTCCTCCACTCGTTACCTGTATTAATGGCACCTGTTTGAACTTGTTATCAGTATAAAAGACACCTGTCCACAACCTCAAACAGTCACACTCCAAACTCCACTATGGCCAAGACCAAAGAGCTGTCAAAGGACACCAGAAACAAAATTGTAGACCTGCACCAGGCTGGGAAGACTGAATCTGCAATAGGTAAGCAGCTTGGTTTGAAGAAATCAACTGTGGGAGCAATTATTAGGAAATGGAAGACATACAAGACCACTGATAATCTCCCTCGATCTGGGGCTCCACACAAGATCTCACCCCGTGGGGTCAAAATGATCACAAGAACGGTGAGCGAAAATCCCAGAACCACACGGGGGGACCTAGTGAATGACCTGCAGAGAGCTGGGACCAAAGTAACAAAGCCTACCATCAGTAACACACTACGCCGCCAGGGACTCAAATCCTGCAGTGCCAGACGTGTCCCCCTGCTTAAGCCAGTACATGTCCAGGCCCGTCTGAAGTTTGCTAGAGTGCATTTGGATGATCCAGAAGAGGATTGGGAGAATGTCATATGGTCAGATGAAACCAAAATAGAACATTTTGGTAAAAACTCAACTCGTCGTGTTTGGAGGACAAAGAATGCTGAGTTGCATCCAAAGAACACCATACCTACTGTGAAGCATGGGGGTGGAAACATCATGCTTTGGGGCTGTTTTTCTGCAAAGGGACCAGGACGACTGATCCGTGTAAAGGAAAGAATGAATGGGGCCATGTATCATGAGATTTTGAGTGAAAACCTCCTTCCATCAGCAAGGGCATTGAAGATGAAACGTGGCTGGGTCTTTCAGCATGACAATGATCCCAAACACACCGCCCGGGCAACGAAGGAGTGGCTTCGTAAGAAGCATTTCAAGGTCCTGGAGTGGCCTAGCCAGTCTCCAGATCTCAACCCCATAGAAAATCTTTGGAGGGAGTTGAAAGTCCGTGTTGCCCAGCGACAGCCCCAAAACATCACTGCTCTAGAGGAGATCTGCATGGAGGAATGGGCCAAAATACCAGCAACAGTGTGTGAAAACCTTGTGAAGACTTACAGAAAACGTTTGACCTGTGTCATTGCCAACAAAGGGTATATAACAAAGTATTGAGAAACTTTTTGATATTGACCAAATACTTATTTTCCACCATAATTTGCAAATAAATTCATAAAAAATCCTACAATGTGATTTTCTGGATTTTTTTTCCTCATTTTGTCTGTCATAGTTGACGTGTACCTATGAAGAAAATTACAGGCCTCTCTCATTTTTTTAAGTGGGAGAACTTGCACAATTGGTGGCTGACTAAATACTTTTTTCCCCCACTGTACCAGAGCTGAGAATGATGTCAAAGAGTTTAAGTATAGCCAATTGGATTTTGTGGTCTGTATATTTTATCATTTCATTTAGGATGGCATCAGCACCACAGGCCTTTTGGGTTGGATGGTTTGAATTTTGTCCTGTAGTTCATTCAATGTACTTGGAGAATCCAGTGGGTTCTGGTAGTCTTTAATAGCTGATTCTAAGATTTGTAATTGATCATGTATACAGTATGTTTTTGCTGTTTGTTCTTTGTTATAGGGCCAAAAAGATTGGAGAAGTGGTTTATCCATGCATCTCAATTTTGAATTGATAGCTGTTCATGTTGTTTTTTGTTTGGTGTGTTCCAATTGTCCCAGAAGTGGTTAGATTCTATGGATTCTTCAATTACATTGTGCTGATTTCAGATGTGCTGTTCCTTCTTTTTTCTTAGCGTATTTCTGTACTGTTTTAGTATTTCACCATAGTGAAGGCGTAGGCTTAGGTTTTCTTGTCTCTGTGTTCTTGGTTGGATAGGTCCCCCGCCCCTCTCTCTCTCTCCCTCTCTTTCTACCCTACACAGTAAAGTATTCTGTCTGGATAGGCCCTTCACTATAAAGCACTCAGACTGAACAAAGAAAGAGAAAGTGTATTAGGGTGCGAGTTGAGCCAGTGAGTCCAATGGGAGTCTGATTGATAGTCTCTGAACCACAGTATGCACGAGTGGGTGTGTGTGTGTGCATTTATTTTTTAAAGAAATGCAGTCTTGCCTGTGAGGTGGGGGCGGCAAACCAAATCTCGCTTAGAGCCCCCGAAAGGCTAGAGGTGGCCGTGTGTGTCTGTGGGTGGGTGTCTGTGTGTGTCTGTGTGTGGATGTCTGTGTGTGTCTGTGTGTGTGCGCTCGTGCATGCGTCCGTGTGTGTGAGTGAGTGAGCCTGATTGATAGTCTATGGACCACATGGTGGACTTGGGGCATTCATATGTTTGACCTCTCCATCTATCAGCAGTGAAATACTCAGGAATGCGCTGTTCTGTGAAGGGAGTAGTACACAGCGTTGTAAGAGATCTTTAATCAGGACAACAGTTTTCAGCTGTGCTAACATAATTGCAAAAAGGTTTTCTAAAGATCAATTAGCCTTTTAAAATGATAAACTTGGATTAGTAAACACAACGTGCCATTGGAACACAGGACTGATGGTTGCTGATAATGAGCCTCTGTACACCTATGTAGATATTCCATTAAAAATCAGCAGTTTCCAGCTACAATAGCCATTTACAACATTAACAATGTCTACACTATTTCAATTTGATGTTATTTTAATGGACAAGAAAATTGCTTTTCTTTTGAAAACAAGGACATTTCTAAGTGACCCCAAACTTTTGAACGTTAGTGTACATTTAATATAGCCAATCAATAAACAAACCCAAATCAATTCGCATTCATTCAAAACAGGGGTTTTATGTGGCTGTAGTACTAAGGCTGAGGCTATTGCATGACATGGCATGCAAAGCTTGGTTGATATGTACAACCGTGTGTTCCTGGTGTTAGCTGATACATTGTTCCTTTACTCTTTGAATTCTGGTAGAACATGGTTGAGTTGTGCATTAATAAAACACACTGGTATCAGAGCCACTTAGCTAAAGGATGCTCTTTAAATGCTAATAATGTAATGACACCCTTGCCCCTATATAATGTACACTAAACGGAGAATATGGTTAATATGGACACATAGCCCTATAAGAAAGTTGCCTTTGGCTGTAGTGTAGAGGTTCAGCATAATGCACATTACTTGGAGTGCACAATATAGAGATTAGGGTATCATTATGGACTGAAAGGTCAGCCTGGTTGCTCAAGAGCCACTTAGAAATCTGACGTCTGTCCATGTACCCAGCACGTGGGCAGATGCCTTCAAAACCGGCCACTAGGGGCAACGGTGAGCACTATTCCCATCAAGTAGCTTGGGTTTTGCAAGAGCATTGTGGACGAGGGTGGCAGATAGGCCGTGAGCTCCGGCACCGACGGTCGCGTGTTCAATCCCAGTGATAGGCAGTAGTTTTTGTTGTTTTTGTTTTAACCTTATCCCGAACCATAACCCTTAACTTAACCATTAGGAATTAATAGCTAAACTTAACCAGCAGCGAGGCACCGGTGACAGCAGTTGTGCAACCCGGGGTGCTGCTTTTATTTTTCTTATTTATTTAACCGTTATTTAACTAGGCAAGTCAATTAGGAACATCAGTAGGTGTCCAAAACACCTAGAAATGTGATGTTTCGTGCAACTTCAAAATTTGACGTTTGGAGAAATTTGGATAAACTTCAGAATCTGAAGTAAAATTTGTCAAACCATGAAATCTTTTTGGGAAGTAGCCTTATTAGAAAGTAGCCTATAGCAGTGTATGGTCAGCATAATACACACTACTTGTAGTGCACTATATGGAGCATAGGATAGCATTAAAAAGCAGCCTAAAGCTGTGTGTGGTCAGCATAATGTACACTATAAGGGGAATTTAGTGTTGTGGACGCAGCCATATTATCTTATTAGAAAGTAGCCTATAGCGATGGGGTTTAAAGCAACACAGTGCTATAGCTCATTTAGGTTTTAATGAGACTGGACTGACCCTGGGGACGCTTGGCCTTTAAAATGACCTCTGTCCTTAGACCTTCTCCCTTTACCGCTGGGGTGTGTGTGTGTATGTGTGTGTGTGTGTGTGTGTGTGTGTGTGTGTGTGTACGTGCGGAGCAGAGCTCTGGTCCCCTACAGCAACACTCGTGTTTTATAATCTGACCTCTGACCTCTCACTCCCACCCACTTTCTTCCTTCCCTCTCCTTTCTTCTCTATATTTCTCCTTCTGTCTCTCTCTCCCCCCTCTTTCTCGCTCCTCCGCCCTCTTCTCCTCTCCTCTCCTCTCCCCCCTCTCTCCTCCTCTCCAGAAACTGCACGTGTTTAGGAAGACGTTACAGGCGTTGATCTATCCCATCTCGTCTACGACGCCTCATAACTTTGAGGTGTGGACGGCCACCGCCCCGACCTACTGCCATGAGTGTGAGGGCCTGCTGTGGGGCATCGCCAGGCAGGGCATGCGCTGCTCCGAGTGTGGTGTCAAATGCCACGAGAAGTGTCAGGATCTACTCAACGCCGACTGTCTACAGAGTAAGGAAATACACACACACACACACAGGGTCGCACTCCCACACACACAGGCTCACACCCACACACACAGGCTCGAACTCCCACTTGCACACACACACATAGGCTTGTACTCACACTCGCACGCACACACACACAGGCTCGCACGCACACACACACAGGCTCACACACACACACACACACACACACACAGAATATGCATTCATATGGGTTACAGATTCAAAGCAACAATGGGAGAGTTCTATCTTCCTTTAGTTGCAATTTCTTCACATAATATTTACAATGGGAGCTATGTGAGCACTGTCCACTGTCCTGTGGGGCTGAACTTCAGAATCCAGATTATGTTGCTGTCCACTTCAGCTTGTTTGTTTACTGCAGCACCATTGGACATTTTACTCCATATAGCATACACCAGATGCCGTGTGTGTGTGCATGCATGTGTGTGCATGTGTGTGTGTGTATGTTGTATCCAGCTGTTGTCTCCAGCCTTACAGGGAGGGTGTCTCCTCTGGCTCTCAGTATGACATTATTCTCTGCCTCCCAGCCTGCTTTGAAGTGTAGCTAGCTCTGAAACGTGTTTGTGTTTGGACTTAAACACACACACATCCTCTCCATCTTGTTAGGGTAATGTTTATTTAAACTGGTTCCTTCCATTCTACAGTAGCAGGTCATGTTTTGGGTAGTATCTAGAGGTTTATCCTAGTGTGTTTTGATTGGATGACAGTAGACGTGTGACACGTTAGCCCCAGGACCGTCGTCACTCTCTGTAACTGGATTAGCTACACTCTGAATGATAGAACACTCTGATTGCTTCCCAAATGGCACCCTATTCCCTATATAGTGCACTACTTTTAGTAGTGCACTATATAGGGAAAATAGTGTAATTTGGTACGCATACATAGTGTTTTATTCAAATGATGATTCATGTTTAATTTGATCTCAATCGCAGTTCATGACCTCGCCAAAGATGACAGGCGAGATAACTCGATTAGAGGAGGAGAGAAAAAGAGAGAGAGGGGAGAGAGGGGAGAGGGAGGGTCCAAAAAAAGCATGAGCAGAAAGCAGAACTGTGTGTTTGAGAGAGAGGCCGTAGCCAAAGGCTTTATAACCCCCACCCCCTACTCACCCACACAAACACACAGAGTAAGTGAGGGGACAAAGGATGCTTCTAAGTGTGTTCTAAGCACAGCCAATATTTGTAACATTCTCCTCCTACAACAACTGCTTCCCATTGTGTTCTAGGGACAAGATACCCAAAATAGAAAGGTAGAGAGAGAAAGATAGAGAAAGATAGAGTCCAGAAAGAGCAGGGGAGAAAGTTATCTGTGTGTTTGATAGATGGGCCTGAGGAAATCTAAGGGCGGTGGACAAGAGTTGTAAGCACGATGCTGTATCCTAATGTGTAATGGTGTGTGTGTCTGTTTTCCTGTTTGTGTGTGGTGTTCTAGGGGCGGTGGAGAAGAGTTCTAAGCACGGCGCTGAGGACAAGACCCTGAACATCATCATGGCCATGAAGGAGAGGATGAAGATCAGGGAGAAGAACCGGCCTGAGGTGTTTGAGGTCATCCAGGAGATGTTTGGGATCTCTAAAGAGGACTTTACTGGACACCTGAAGACCGCCAAGCAAGCAGTGCTGGAGGGAACCTCCAAGTGGTCTGCCAAGATCAACATCACAGGTTAGTAGTACCAACACTAAGAACTGAGCCCTAGCCCCTAGCCAAGCAGGCTATACTGGAGGGAACCTCCAAGTGGTCCGCCAAGGTCAACATCACATCTTAGCACAATCACAATCACTGAGGCCTAGTGCTGGGAAGGTTTGCTGGACTATAATAAATGGTTTCAGATCCTCTTGAGCAAGGCACATAGCTGGAAGGGCACTGCACAACTGTGGCTGATCCTATGCTCCGCCTGATTGGTGGTGTGTGTGTGTGTGTGTGTGTGTGTGTGTGTGTGTGTGTGTGTGTGTGTGTCTCTGTGTGTGTATTATCTGACGGGGGTGAGAACAGAGCATACAGATCCTCTGGGCTAAATTAGACCAGATTGGGCTGAGCTGAGCTGTATTATTGCCCATATAGCATTCCTGCCGTTCCTTGTGTGTCAATCAATCCCCAAGAGACAGAGACGGAGAGAAAAACTGCCTCCCGCTCCCATGTATCTCTCTGGCCTTATCGAACGTCCCATTTTAGAACCGACTTATTGACTCTTTATCTATGTATTATTCATTTGATAAACACAGACACACATTGATTGTGTAGAACTTTGGCGGTAGATAGATAGGCAGCTGTGAGATGTGAATGTTCTGCATCAGCTAACTGGTGGTCCTCTGTAGCTCAGCTGGTAGAGCACGGCGCTTGTAACGCCAGGTTAGTGGGTTCGATCCCCGGGACCACCCATACACAAAAATGTATGCACGCATGACTGTAAGTCGCTTTGGATAAAAGCATCTGCTAAAAGGCATATTATATTATATTATTACTAACTGCTACATCCCAGCCCTGGATCAGTGGATTTGTTTAGACTGCTATAGGAAGGAGAAATTCGGTATACTTAATAAACTCCCTCTCTCCATCACTCCTTTTTTCCATCATTACCCCTCTCTCTCTCACCTTCTCCCGTTCCCTCTCTCCCCTCCCCACGCTCCCTCTCTCCCCCTCTCTCTTTCTCTTTCTCTCTCTCTATCCATCTCTCCCCCTCTCTCTCTCATTTTCTCTCCATCACTCAGCTCTGTAGTTGCGGTACATTATACTACATTATACAAAGCCTAACATAGACATCAGCCGTTCTCTGCCTCTTACTAAATGTTCCACCTCTCTCTACCCCTCCCTCTCCCTTTCCACATCACTCTCTCTCTGCTCTTCCTCTCTCTCTCTCTCTCTCTCTCTCTCTCTCTCTCTCTCTCTCTCTCCCCTTTCTCCCTTTTCACTCTGTCTCTGCCATCACTTCCCTATCTCTGTCTATCCCCTGTATTCCCTCGCTCTCCCCCTCTCATCCCCCCCCCCCCCCTCTCTCATTTTATTGTATTTCCTTGCTGCTGGGGGCAACACAAGGCTGTAGCTTCTCATTTGTGGTGTCTTTGAGAGCCCGGCCCACCAGTCTCTGTCAGTGAGGGGAGAGGGGCTGGCTGGGGGAGTTATATACCATGAATAATACAGAGTATCACTCATACATATTTAATGCACAGTGTCCTTTTACCTTTTATGGGCCTGGGAAATACTACTTCCTCTCTGAGATGGACGGTTAAGGGTGTGTGGGGGGAGCGTGTCACTGTTGATGTGGGTGCGTTGAGAGGAGTCAGACGCAGGACGCATAAGCTAAGTCAAACAAGACTTTACTAGATGTACAACCAGTACAAGATAAAGTACCTCTAACGAGGAGGCAAAACGACAACGCAACACAGTGCGTTACAATAACAATCCCAGAGTACTGCACAGGATACCACCAACAGACAGGAAATAAAATAACACACAACTAACGAACACAACCACAGGAAACTTATAAGGCACATAATCAAGACCAAACGGACACAGGTGTAACAGACAGACCAAACCAAACGAACATCGAAACATTCAACGGTGGCAGCTAGTACTCCGGGGACGACGACCGCCGAAGCCTGCCCTAAACAAGGAGGAGGAGCAGCCTCGGCAGATTCCGTGACAGAGCGGTTAAGGGGGTATAGGTTGTGTGTCTGTGTTGGTGTAGGGGTGTGTGTGTGTCTCATCTATAGCCTGGGAAGACAAATAGTATCTGCAAGAGTAGCTAACCTAATATTTTGTCTTTCAACAAGTTGTTGTTGTTGCTATAGTCTGGCTAGGGCAATTCAAGTTAAAGATGCACTCCGGAATCTTAAGCACAACAAATTTGTAACATATTGTACAAATTGGATTTGCAACATATCATACGAATTGCAAAAGTCTTAAAGCTGTAATGTGTAACTTTTTGGGCGACCTGACCAAATTCACATAGAAATGTGAGTTATAGATCTGTCATTCTTATTGACAGCAAATCTAAGACGCAGTAGATCTGTTCCATGTGCGCTATTTCTATGCTTCCTGTTTTAAGTTTCGTTTTTGCGTCTTTTACTATTGGTTTTGTACACCAGCATCAAACAGCTGAAAATACAATATTTTGGGTTATTGAAAATATATTTCACAAAGATTTAGATTGTGCAATGATTCTCTACACTATACACTGAGTGTACAAAACATTAGGAATACCTTCCTAATGTTGAGTTGCACACCCTTTTGCCTTCAGAACAGCCTCAATTCATAGGGGCATGGACTCTACAAGGTGTCGAAAGCGTTTCACAGGGATGCTGGCCCATGTTGTCCCCAAAGCTTCCCACAGTTGTGTCAAGTTGGTTGGATGTCCTTTGGGTGGTGAACCATTCTTGATACACACAGGAAACGGTTGAGCGTGAAAAACCCAGCAGCATTGCAGTTCTTGACACACTCAAACCAGTGCGCCTGGCACCTACTACCATACCCCGTTCAAAGGCACAAATATTTTTTCTTGCCCATTCACCCTCTGAATGGCACACATGCACAATCCAATTAGCTCAATGCTTAAAAATCCTTCTTTAACCTGTCTCCTCCCCTTCATCTACACTGATTGAAGAGGATTTAACAAGTGACATCAATAAGGGATCATAGCTTTCAACTTGATTCACCTTTTCAGTCTATGTCTTGGAAAGAGCAGAGCTGTGTTCAAATACCCATACTAACATACTGTATACTACATACTTAATGAGTATATACTGCATCCTATTAGTTCATTTTAGTATACTGTAAACGAACGGTATCGTTTCAGTTGAGCGTCCTAGCGCTTCGCCTGTCTACCGGAAGTTGATGCTGTTGCTATGCAACCTGTTGCTAGCTTGTTAGCATAACAAATGACTAGCTATACATTTTACGTTTTCGGGTGTGTTCGTAAATTTAATCTGGAGTGCCAGAGCCAGATCTGGAAATCCAGAGCGTTCAGAGCGCAGACTGGACGCTCTGGCGGAAGAGTAGGGTTGATCCGAGCGTTCAACGGCTGTCAAGCACCCAAGCTAACTGGCTAACGTTGGCTAGCTACTTCCAGACACAAATGAGAGAACACCTCACTCAGACCGTTTTACTCGCCATAGTAGAGCTGGTTATCCAGAGCGTTGGTGACTGTAGCTGGCAACAATTTAATAACGCTTTTTTTTGCCAACGTTTACTGACACCGGCCATATATTCAACGGGTGTTAAGCATTCGTAAATTCATCAGTTATTCTGCGCTCTGGCACTTTCAGACGAGCATGCTCTGAAATCGGAGTAGATAGACAGAATTAACAATGTCCATTGAAACGCACAACAACTATACCACTTAGCTAAGAATGATGTGAATAATCAAGTCAATAAACGTTGGGTAGTTAGTTAGATAGCAGATAGATAATATACTGCCTGGAAAGTTTGATGTATTAGTAACCAACTAACGTTAGGTAACTAGCTAACATACCGGTACATACTGCTGTAATGCTATGCGGTTCGTAAGGATAGTTTAGCTAACAAATTGTCAGCCAATGTAACTTATCTGAAAAGTCACTACTTTATTACATTGCTCAACATTTTCTTCATAATTAGTTAAAGCAATTAATTTGTATCCGCTCTCGTCAGACTTACCCTGCATATTTTCCGCCATTTTCTTCTAATCTGAAAACGTTGTGGAGCCACGCCCCTTTTCGGAAGAATTGCATTTTCCGTGCCCTAAAATTACGGAAAGAGTGTCCACTGCTTGTATACTTAGTATTTTGGCGAATTTAGTATGACATCTGGGAACTTTTGGCTTACTAAATATATCCATACTATGACCAATAGGCATACTATTTACTCAATTCACATCACAAATACTACGGTTAGTGCAGTTAGTATGAGTATTCGAACACAGCTCAGGTGTTCCTAATGTTTATTTATTTATTTTTATTCATGAGAATTCACTACAAAGCTGTATATTCCATATTTGCTTGTTTTGTAACAATTGCTTGTTTTGTCACATAAACTTAGGTAAACTATTAGAATTTTAGTAACCAGGAAATGGCGGAGCGATTTCTGCATATGGCACCTTTAACATATCACACGAAATGGATGGCATAGTACACCATAAACGGAGACCTGTTTTGGCTCGTGAGCACCACTTTCAAAACTGCTGGCTGAAATTATACAAATCTTTAAGAGTGCATCTTTAAGTGCTGTATCTTAAATAAGACATAAAAAAAACTAAAGTGCACTTCTTTTTTCATACTAACACTGACTTTGCTGATAACTTCTTTATTGAGGAAAAATGTATTTACTAAGACTCTGATATGTGGTTGTCATAACAAGCTATCTTAAGATGAACATAAGTCACTCTGGATAAGAACGTCTGATAAATGACAAAAATAATTGTAAAAACATTTAAATGTAATGTGTGTGTGTTCGTGCATGGGCGTGTACGATGGTGGTGGACTGGTCTCTCTTGGGTATCTGTCTGTTGGCGAAGCAGATATTCACTGCTTCACCAACAGACAGATTGGCTATACTGGAGACACGTTTACATGGTTATGGCACCTATACATAAGACATAAGGCTCATACTAGTTTATAGCAGGTAATACAGCATTACACCTGCAGGCTATAAGTGTTACATACGTTTTAATATGTATATTATACTGTATATTAGTGCTGGGCTGGAACAAAAGCCTCTTAAGTCTTACTGTTGTTATTTCTGTGTCTCTCCTGTCTCCCCGTGCCTCCCCCTGTCTTCCCCCTGTCTCCTCCTGCCTCCCCCTGTCTCCTCCTGCCTCCCCCTGTCTCCCCTTGTGTTCCCCTACCTCCCCGTCTTCCCCTGCCTTCCTCTGTCTTCCCCTGTCTTCCCCTGCCTCCCCCTGTCTTCCACTGTCTCCCCTGTCTCCCCTTGCCTTCCCCTGCCTCCCCCTGTCTTCCCGTGCCTTCCCTTGTCTTCCCCTGTCTTCCCCTGCCTTCCTCTGTCTTCCCCTGTCTTCCCCTGCCTCCCCCTGTCTTCCACTGTCTCCCCTGTCTCCCCTTGCCTTCCCCTGCCTCCCCCTGTCTTCCCGTGCCTTCCCATGTCTTCCTCTGTCTCCCCCTGCCTTCCCCTGTCTTCCCCTGCATCCCCCTGTCTTCCCCTCTCTTCCTCTGTCTTCCCCTGTCTTCCCATGTCTTCCTCTGTCTTCCCATGTCTTTCCCTGTCTTCCCCTGTCTTCCTCGGTCTTCCCCTGCCTCCCTCTCCTCCCCCTGTCTCTCCCTGACTCCCCCTCTCTCCTCTCCAGTGATGTGTGCCCAAGGTCTGCAGGCCAAGGATAAGACAGGTTCCAGTGACCCCTACGTGACTGTCCAGGTAGGGAAGACCAAACGGCGGACCAAGACCATCTTTGGGAACCTCAACCCTGTCTGGGACGAGAAGTTCTTCTTGTGAGTATCATGAACATACAGTATTTCACTACTACAACATTACTACAACCTAAGCCAGTGTACTACAGACTGTATTATAGACGTTGTCCTGTGTGGCTTATTCGGTAGCGCATTGCACTTGCAACCCCAGGGATCGTGGGTATGATTCCCATACATAAAATATATGCACGCATGACTATAAGTCCAGGTGGTGTACATCAAGCTGCCTCAGGCTACAGAAACAAGATATAAGCTCCTACCCTATGGGCCATTCTGGCTCAGACAAGGCTACCTTCTTAAGCTGTAATACACAAACTTTACTGCAGCAGACATTGTTATCACAGACATCTAGAACCTACAACACCAACAAATAAGGGGAGCGGAGAGGGGAAATAATGAAAATGCATTTAAATGAAAAATTTGTTATTGCCATGATTTTCATCTTTATGGAAACTCATTTCACACCAGCTTTGTGTTTACAGTTTTGTTTGTGTTTACTGAAAGTATTGTAAAGCTAACCCATGTTAGCTCAGTCCCTTTTTAAATAAACAACAACTTCTAAAATGGAGAGGTAACTTTTGATGATGTGTTGTGCTGTTGTGCTGTGTAGACATTGACCCATGGTGGCATTAGAGAAGGTATTATGGTTGAAATCTTGCTCTCTGTGAGTCTGAACTCTGAACTCTGAACATAAAATTAACTGACTGAGTGGTGATAGACTGTCATGTTGATTGGAATGTTGTTCATGTTGATGTAAAGTGCACAGAGAACCGAGAACTAATGGTATTATCTAACACCTAACACAACCTAGAACACTGGAATATGGCATTCTGTAAAACAGCAGTATAGCACAATGAATCACACATCTCACATCAACGTCATGAGGCTTAAGGAGTCTGTTCTAAAGCCAGTACATCCTGTTGTTGTATAAATGCATCACGCATAAGGTGAAATAGCGCCATTGTTCACCACAGCCACAGTTGTTATTGTTTTTGTTTGGATGATAATAGAGAAGAGGAGCAGCCAGCATCCTGAACACATTTTTTTGCAGTTCATACTCTGTTTTTCTATGGCGCGTGCAATGATGTGGACTAATGTCAGAGAAAAAAGTTTGAAGTAACTTCTTATTTTGTTGTAATATTGCAAACGGTGTGGTAGTTTCACCAAGTATGGACTCAAGCTTTAAATAGAGACAAACATAGATAAAGATAAATCAAGCACCCCATTTCCATAGAAACCATAGCGCTGGCGATTAGAATACCTGTATCTAGGAGACGGAGAGGCTTTGTTGGAGCTGCCTTCCACCATGCTCTCTATCTGCTGATGGAGGCAATTTGTGTGTGTGTCTGTGTGTCTGTGTGACTGTGTGTCTGTGTGCATGTGTGTGAGTGTGTGTGTGGGTGTGCATTTGTGTTCGTTAGAGAGACAGCCTGATTGCAGCTACTCTCACTCTCCTCGCTCTCTTCACTCTCACACTCCTTACTCTCACTTCCTTTACTCTCACTCCCTTCACTCTCACTCCCTTCACTCTCCCCACGCTCCTCACTCTCCTCACTCTCCCCACTCCCTTCACTCTCACTTATCTCACTCTCCCCACTCCCTTCACTCTCACTCTCCCCACTCTCCTCACTCTCCCCACTCCCTCTACTCTCACTCTCCTCACTCTCCCCACTTTCCTCACTCCCTCTACTCTCTCTCTCCCCACTCTTCCCACTCTCCCCACTCTCCTCATTCTCCCCACTCTCCTCACTCTCGTCCACTCATCTCACTCTCCCCACTTCTCCCCCCCTCTCCTTTACTCTCACTCTCCTCACTCTCCCCACTGTCCCCTCTCCCTTCACTCTCACTCTCCCCACTCTCCCCACTCCCTTCACTCCTACTATCACTCTCCCCACTCCCTTCACCCTCACTCTCCCCCACTCCCTTCACTCTCCCCACTCTCCTCACTCTCCTCACTCTCCCCACTCTCCCCACTTCCTTCACTCTCACTCTCCCCACTCTCCTCACTCTCCCCACTCTACCCACTCTCCCCACTCTACGCACTCTCCCCACTCTACGCACTCTCCCCACTCTCCTCACTCTCCTCACTCTCCTCAATCTGCTCACTCCATTAACTCTCACGCTCCTTAATCTTACTCTCCCCACTCAACACTCTCACTCCCTTCACTCTCTCTGTGTGTGTGTCTGTGTGTATGTGGTATCTATGAAAAACCACAGAATGAAATGCGGATAGAGTTACACTGCTCATTCTTGCCTCCTGTGCAAAAAAGAGAGGGAGGGAGGAGGAGAGAGCAAGCAAGAGAGAGAGAGCAAGCAAGAGAGAGAGAGCAAGATAGAGAGAGAGAGAGAGAGCAAGAGAGCGAGAGAGAGAGAGCAAAAGAGAGAGCAAGAGAGACAGAGAGGGAGAGACAGAGAGGGAGAGACAGAGACGGAGAGAGACAGAGAGACAGACGGAGAGACAGAGACGGAGAGACAGAGACGGAGAGACAGAGACAGAGAGGGAGAGAGGGAGAGACAGAGAGGGAGAGACAGAGAGGGAGAGACAGAGGGAGAGACAGAGAGGGAGAGAGGGAGAGACAGAGAGGGAGAGACAGAGCGACAGAGAGACAGAGAGGGAGAGACAGAGAGGGAGGGACAGAGAGGGAGAGACAGAGAGGGAGGGACAGAGAGGGAGAGACAGAGCGACAGAGAGACAGAGAGGGAGAGACAGAGAGACAGAGAGGGAGAGAGGGAGAGACAGAGAGGGAGAGACAGAGAGACAAAGAGGGAGAGGGAGAGACAGAGAGGGAGAGAGGGAGAGACAGAGAGGGAGAAACAGAGAGGGAGAGACAGAGCGACAGAGAGACAGAGAGGGAGAGACAGAGAGGGAGGGACAGAGAGGGAGAGAGGGAGGGACAGAGAGGGAGAGACAGAGCGACAGAGAGACAGAGAGGGAGAGACAGAGAGGGAGAGACAGAGAGACAAAGAGGGAGAGGGAGAGACAGAGAGGGAGAGACAGAGAGGGAGAAACAGAGAGACAGAGAGGGAGAGACAGAGACAGAGACACACACGCACTAACACACACGCACACGCATACACACACATCACAAACACACACACACCCCTGGGTGGGGGAACACTATGGACAGCAGGGTTTCCTGAAGAGATCTGGTGAGGCAGAATGACATCCCCCTCTCCTCTCCTTTATCCTTATCTCCTTCTCCTCTCATCTGCTCTCCTCTTCTCTTCTCTCCTCTCCTCTCCTTTATCCTCCTCTTCTCCATCATCCTCTTCTCTCATCTGCTCTCCTCTTCTCTTCTCTCCTCTCCTTTATCCTCCTCTTCTCCATCATCCTCTTCTCCCCTCTCCTCTCCTGCCCCCTCCTCCCCTCTCCGCTCCTGCCCCTCCCCGCTCTCCTCTCCAACCCCCTCCCCCCTCTCCTCTCCTCCCCCTCTCCTCTCCTCCCCCGTCTCCTCTCCTCTCCTGTATCCTCCTCTCCTCTCTGGTCCTTTACTCTCCTCCATTCTCCTCTTCTCTACTTTACTTTCCTCTTCCCCCCCTCTCCTCTCTGCTCCTCTCCCATGTTCTCCTCTTCTCTACTTTACTTTCCTCTTCTCCTCCTCTCCTCTCCCCTGCTCTCCTCTCTCTCCTCTCCTCTCCATCCCCCTGTCCTCTCCTTCTTCCAGGTCTTTCATTTTCCACATACATCTAGAGGAGAGGACAACTCTGAAACCCCAATGGCAACCCTAACCTAACAGCCACCCACACTATGCCAACCCTAGCCATAATATATGACTATGACGTGACTACACTGAGTCTCCAGGTCTGTTTGTGCTCCAGGATAGTGTGAGGTCATATCAAGTTAGGTCAGAGCTGCTGTCAGTAGATAAAACAGCTGAGCGGCTCTAGAGAGGGTGGGAGGAGAGGAGGATGGGAGGAGAGGAGGATGGGAGGAGGGAGGATGGGAGGAGGGAGGATGGGAGGAGGGAGGATGGGAGGAGAGGAGGATGGGAGGAGGGAGGATGGGAGGAGGGAGGATGGGAGGAGGGGAGGAGGGGAGGAGGGAGGAGGGAGGATGGGAGGAGGGGAGGAGGGAGGATGGGAGGAGGGAGGAGGGGAGGAGGGAGGAGGGAGGAGGGGAGGAGGGGAGGAGGGGAGGAGGGAGGATGGGAGGAGGGGAGGAGGGAGGAGGGAGGATGGGAGGATGGGGAGGGAGGGGAGGAGGGGAGGAGGGGAGGAGGGGAGGAGGGGAGGAGGGAGGAGGGGAGGAGGAGGGAGGAGGGGAGGAGGGAGGATGGCCACACAGCTTTTCACCTTCAAGGGCTGCTGGTAAACTAACTCTGTCCAGTGGTTGAAAACACGCTTTGGTGATGACATTTCACTTCCTTATGCTATAAAATACATTTTACCAAGACAAATATGATTCTTCATGTTCTGAATCATTCAGTGGCGTCTTTCTCTAACATATCATTAACATTATATCCAAAAAGTTGGATTTCGTTACCTAATACATCCGATAATAAGCACCGAGCTCTGTTGAGGATTTTACATGTTGAGGATTTTACATGTTGAGGTGGTCGTCTGCAAAGTTGTTTCCACAGGTCGCAAAAAGACAAATTAACACAAACTGAATTAAACGTAAAAGGCTTTGAAAATAAAAAGCTTGCGGTAAGCTCAGTGCTCGGTTGACATTTCACAGAGATACATTTTTTTGTTGTGAGAAATCTTTGAAAAATAACAGTAATTTCGCATTAATATGAAAAGCGTATACTATAATATGAAAATATTACATGTCATGTCTCAAAATCGATATCTATCTTACCTCTATTGTTTTATGTCAAATCAATGAAATTGTATTTGTTACATGCTTCGTAAAAAACAGGTGTAGACTAAATGTGAAATGCTTACTTATGGGTCCTTTTCCAACAATGCAGAATTGAAGATAAAACAATTCAATTAAAAATGGAAATAGTGACACGAGGAATAAATACACAGTGAATAACTAATAACAATAAGTAAAAATAACATGACTATATACAGGCGATGACAGGGGATGTCCTCCGGATTTGAGAAGAAAGATGACCAGTTCAACGGTTAGCCTGTCATTTTTTGTTGCCTTAATTGTCACACAGCATCCAGCCAAGCTGACGCAACGCAATTTTCCAGATTTTTGACCACTTTTTTAAATCTGATTTAGTCACCCTAATTTTGGCCATCCTTTTGGCCCATTGATAAAAATATGCATTTTTGATTGGACAACCAGTGGTCACCAACCGGTCGATCGCGATCTCCAAGGCATTCCTAGTCGATAACCAAACATTTCTGTAAAAAACCCAACAATAAAGCCTTACATTCCAAAATGTTTTATTCCTTTTGTGCTGTTGGTGTTTGATGCACTTGATTCAGCAGCCCTAATGCCGGGAAGGCAAAGTATTCCCATTTTGAACTATTTCATGTGTTTGAAGGTAGAACTCCGCCTACCCGGCAGGCCCAGAGAGCAAATCAAGTGCACCTATAGGCCTACCACTGGCCAACCTGTCAAAGGCGTCAGTGAAATACGGTGGGCGAAGTCAAACGCAGGACACAGAGCTGATCCGAAAACGTACTTTACTTGAAAGTAAACTGTGAATACAAAATCTCCACACAGGGAGGAAATAACCCGCACACTAACGACTGCCGATCACGAATACAATCACACACAACACACAGTGTAAGACAGAGGGTTAAATAGGGAAGACAATACAACATAATGGGAAACAGGTGTACACAATCAAGACAGAACAAGTCGAACACAGAAACATAGATCGGTAGCAGCTAGTACTCCGGTGACGACGAACGCCGAAGCCTGCCCGAGCAAGGAGGAGGGGCAGCCTCGGCTGAATCCGTGACAGTACCCACCCCTTGACGCGCGGCTGCAGCCGTGCGCCGACCCCGGCCTCGGAGACGGCCAGGAGGACACGGAGCAGGGTGAGTCAGATGACTCTGGTGGAAATCCCTCAACATGGAGAGATCTAGGATGTCCCTCCTAGGGACCCAGCACCGTTCCTCCGGACCGTACCCCTCCCACTCCACGAGATACTGCAGGCCCCCCACCTGATGCCTCGAATCCAAGATGGAACGGACTGAGTATGCCGGAGCCCCCTCGATGTCCAGTGGGGGCGGAGGAACCTCTCGTACCTCAGACTCCTGGTGTGGACCAGCTACTACCGGCCTGAGGAGAGACACATGGAACGAGGGGTTAATACGGTAATTAATAGGAAGTTGTAACCTATAACAAACCTCGTTCAATCTCCTCAGGACTTTAAATGGCCCCACAAACCGCCGACCCAGCTACCGGCAAGGCAGGCGAAGGGGCAGGTTTCGGGTCGAGAGCCAGACCCGATCTCCCGGTGCATACACCGGAGCCTCACTGCGGTGGCGATCGGCGCTCGACTTTTGTCGCCTGATAGCCCGCTGCAGGTGTACATGCGCAACGTTCCAGGTCTCTTCCGAGCGCCGAAACCACTCGTCCACCGCAGGAGTTTCGATCTGGCTCTGATGCCAAGGTGCCAGGACCGGCTGATAACCTAACACACACTGAAAAGGCGTAAGGTTAGTTGAGGAGTGGCGAAGTGAGTTTTGGGCTATCTCTGCCCAGGGGATATATCCCAACCACTCCCCCTGCTGGTCCTGGCAATAGGACCTCAGAAACCTACCCACATCCTGGTTCACTCTCTCCACCTGCCCATTACTTTCGGGGTGAAAACCTTAGGTAAGGCTAATCGAGACCCCAGACGTTCCATGAACGCCCTCCAGACTCTAGAGGTGAACTGGGGACCCCGATCTGACACTATATCCTCAGGTACCCCGTAGTGCCGGAAGACGTGTGTAAACAGGGCGTCAGCAGTTTGTAGGGCTGTAGGGAGACCTGGCATAGGAATGAGATGGCAGGCCTTCGAAAACTGATCCACAACGACCAAGATCGTAGTGTTCCCCTGTGAGGGGGGAAGGTCCGTGACAAAGTCCACCGATAGATGAGACCACGGCCGTTGTGGAAAGGGTAGGGGTTGTAACTTCCCCCAGGGCAGGTGTCTAGGTGCCTTACACTGGGCGCACACCGAGCAGGAGGAAACATAAACCCTCGCGTCCTTGGCTAAAGTGGGCCACCAGTACTTCCCACTAAGACAGTGCACTGTCCGACCGATCCCAGGATGACCAGAGGAGGGTGACGTGTGAGCCCAATAGATCAATCGATCATGAACCTCGAGCGGCACGTACATCCGACCCTCCGGACACTGGAAGGGAGTAGGCTCGGTATGTAACGCCCGCTCAATGTCCGCATCAACCTCCCACACCACCGGTGCCACCAGACACGATGCCGGGAATACGGGAGTGGGCTCAATGGACCTCTCCTCTGTGTCATATAGTCGGGACAGGGCGTCTGCCTTAGCGTTCTGGGAACCTGGTCTGTAAGTGAGCGTAAACACAAATCGAGTGAAAAACATAGCCCATCTTGCCTGACGAGGGTTCAACCTCCTCGCCGCTCGGATGTACTCCAGGTTACGATGGTCAGTCAAAATGAGAAAAGGGTGTTTAGCCCCCTCAAGCCAATGCCTCCACACCTTCAGGGCTTGAACCACAGCTAACAGCTCCCTGTCCCCCACATCATAATTGCGCTCCGCCGGACTGAGCTTCTTAGAAAAGAAAGCACAGGGGCGGAGTTTTGGTGGCGTACCCGAGAGCTGAGACAGTACAGCACCGATCCCAGCCTCGGACGCATCCACCTCAACTTGGAATGCCAAGGAAGGATCCGGATGAGCCAGCACCGGAGCCGAAGTAAACAGGTCCTTCAGATGCCTAAAAGCCCTGTCCGCCTCAGCCGACCACTGCAGACGCACTGGCCCTCCCTTTAGCAAGGATGTAATGGGAGCCGCTACCTGCCCAAAGCCCCGGATAAAGTAATTGGCAAAACCCAAGAACCATTGCACTTCCTTCACCGTGGTTGGAGTCTGCCAATTACGCACGGACGAAACGCGGTCAATCTCCATCTCCACACCTGACGCGGACAAGCGGTGTCCCAGGAAGGAGATGGACTCTTGGAAGAACAGACATTTCTCCGCCTTCACATACAGGTCATGCTCCAACAGTCTACCAAGCACCCGACGAACCAGGGACACATGCTCGGCTCGTGTAGCGGAGTATATTAGAATGTCATCGATATACACCACTACACCCTGTCCATGCAGCTCCCGGAAAATCTCATCCACAAACGATTGGAACACTGAAGGAGCATTCATCAGACCGTATGGCATGACGAGGTACTCATAGTGCCCCAAGGTGGTACTAAATGCTGTCTTCCACTCATCTCCCTCCCGAATACGCACCAGGTTGTACGCGCTCCTGAGATCCAATTTTGTGAAGAAGCTCGCCCCGTGCAATGACTCCGTCATACTAGCAATCAGAGGTAGTGGATAGCTGTATTTTATTGTGATCTGATTTAGACCACGGTAGTCAATGCACGGGCGTAAACCACCATCCTTCTTCTTCACAAAAAAGAAACTCGATGACGCAGGGGAAGTGGACGGCCATATGTATCCCTGTCTCAGAGATTCGGTGACATATGTCTCCATAGCCGCCGTCTCCTCCTGAGACAGAGGATACACGTGACTCCGGGGAAGCGCAACGCCTACCTGGAGGTTTATCGCACAATCCCCCTGTCGATGGGGTGGTAATTGAGTCGCCTTCTTTTTACAGAAGGCGAGAGCCAAATCGGCATATTCAGGTGGAATGTGCATGGTGGGAACTTGGTTCGGACTTTCCACCGTCGTTGCCCCTACGGAAACACCTACACACCTCCCCAAGCACTGATCAGACCATCCCTTGAGAGCCCTCTGTTGCCATGAAATAGTGGGGTCATGAAAAGCTAACCAGGGAAGCCCCAACACCACGGGAAACGCAGGAGAATCAATCAGATACAAACGAATTATCTCCTCATGCCCCTCCTGCGTTTTCATCCTGAGAGGCGCTGTGACTTCCCTAATCAACCCTGACCCTAAAGGGCGGCTATCTAGGGCATGGATAGGGAAGGGCACATCGACTGGCACAATAGGAATCCCTAACTTATGGGTAAACTGACGATCTATAAAGTTCCCAGCTGCGCCTGAATCTACTAGCGCCTTATGCTGGGACTGAGGAGAAAACTCGGGAAACACAACATTCATACACATATGCGCAACAGGGACAGCTGCAATGAATGAGTATAGCAAAGTGTTCCGATAAGCATTGTATTGTTATTATAATAGTATTGTATTGTTATTATAATAGTATTGTATTGTTATTATAATAGTATTGTATTGTTATTATAATAGTATTGTATTGTTATTATAATAGCGGCTTGTGTCTTTTTTTTATATTGCCCTGAACTAACTCATTTTACTGTTGCTGTTTTTCTACCCATGGTGCTTTGTTGTTCAGTGAGTGTCACAACGCTACAGACCGGATCAAGGTGCGTGTGTGGGATGAGGATGATGACATCAAGTCTCGCATGAAGCAACACTTCAAACGAGAGTCGGACGATTTCTTGGGTCAGACCATCATCGAGGTCCGCATGCTCAGCGGGGAGATGGATGTGTGGTACAACCTGGGTATGTTCTGTATCAGACTGCTTCCATGTTCTAGATAAGACTGGTTCTATGTTCTAGATTAGACTGGTTCTATGTTATTTATTAGACTGGTTCTATGTTCTAGATTAGACTGGTTCTATGTTCTAGATAACACTGGTTCTATGTTCTCTATAAGACTGGTTCTATGTGCTAGATTAGACTGGTTCTATGTTCTCTATAAGACTGGTTATATGTTCTAAATTGGACTGGTTCTATGTTCTAGATAAGATCGGTTCCATTTTCTAGATAAGAGGACTGATGCATCTGGTTCTGTGTTTTAGATAAGAAGACTGATAAGTCTGGTTCTGTGTTCTAGATAAGAGAACTGATAAGTCGATGGTGTCGGGAGCCATCAGATTGAAGCTCAACGTAGAGATGAAGGGAGAGGAGAAAGTAGCACCGCCCCACGGCCAATACACCTGTTTACATGAGGTAAGACACCTATACTCACCAATTGGTTTGAAGGGTTTCTCCACTCTATGGAACCTATTCCATGAACTGTCTCCCTCTCGTCCTCTTCTCTCATTTTATTCTCTTCATCCTATCTTTCTCTCTTCCTTTAGAACCTGTTCCACCACCTGACGGAGGTAAAGAACAGTGGAGCGGTGAAGATCCCAGAGGTGAAAGGAGACGAGGCGTGGAAGGTCTACTATGATGACGTGTCCCAGGAGATAGTGGACGAGTTCGCCATGAGATATGGAGTAGAGTCCATCTACCAGGCCATGACGTAAGGACGCTCTCTTTCTCCTTCTCCCTCTTTCTTTCTCTTTCTCCCTCTCTTTTCTCTCCTCTTGGTTCTCTGAAGGCTTACTGCTGTGCTGATCTAATACAAGAACGCATGCCTCTGTGTCCTCAGTGTTAAAAGCATAGAAATAGAATGCATGCTATTACTATGGTGTGTTTGGCTGTGTAAGTGTATAAGTGTGTGAGTGTGCATGTGTGAGAGAGAAGGAAATGCCTGGCTGCCTGTCTCTGTCTGCCTGTCTGTGTGTGTGGGTGGGTGGGTGTGTGGGTGGGTGGGTGGGTGTGTGTGTGGGTGGGTGTGGGTGTGTGTGTGTGTGCACTGCCCACTCTAAAGCCACCGTGGGAATTCACAGGAAGTCATCATGGTTCTCAGAGTGTTCTCTCTCCACGTTCACCTCCAGCAAGTGCTTCTGGGTAATCTGGAGGCTGAGAGCACAGTAATTAATTATGCTCCCCAATGTGAGCATCTGTGTGTGTGTCTCTCACCCCCTCTCCCTCACGCTCCATCGTTTCTGTCTCTCTCGCTGTGCTTTGAAAGGCTATTTAATAAATAATTTGCATGGCTGTCCTTCCAGATAAATGGGGTGCTCATTTTTGAAAACCTTTGAAATGCACCTCAAGTTAACCTTTCCTTGCATCAGTATTAAACTACCTCATATAACGGGTGTGTCCCAAATACCACCCTATTCCCTAAATAGCCCTATGGGCCCTGGTCAAAAGTAGTGCACTATAAAGAGAATAGGGTGCCATTTGGGATGCTCCCTAAAAGTCAATGCCTGACTGTAGAGCAGAATAGATACCTGTTAAGAGGCAGCCTTCTCCTTGTCTTGCTATTCCCATGACCTACATAGGTTTAGTTTAATGGATTCAGCTCAGAGAGAGAGAGAGAGAGAGAGAGAGAGAGAGGGAGAGAGAGAGAGAGAGAGTAGAGAGAGATATGAAGAGATGGAGCTCTCTCTCTCTCATCTCGCATACTCTCGCTAGCTCGCTCTCATCTTCTCTCTATCCCTCTCTCTCTTCTTCTCTCTCGCTCCCCCTCTCTCTCTCTCTCTCTCTCTCTCTCTCTCTCTCTCTATACTCTTCTCCCTGCCTCTCTCTTATCTCTCTCGCTTCTTTTCTCTTCCTTTTTTTTTTGTTATCTCCTTCCCCTTTCTTTCCTGGAAGTCCCCTACGCAAGCTGGTCCTGGGGCTCTGTACACAAACACAAACAGACCCCACAGAGCCCCAGGACAGCAACACAATTAGACCCAACCAAATCATGAGAAACCAAAAAGATAATTACTTGACACAAAAAAAGAGAGCAAACTAGAATGCTATTTGGCCCTAAACAGAGAGTACACAGTGGCAGAATACATGACCACTGTGACTGACCCAAACTTAAGGAAAGCTTTGACTATGTACAGACTCAGTGAGCATAGCCTTGCTATTGAGAAAGGTCGCCGTAGGCAGACCTGGCTCTCAAGAGAAGACAGGCTATGTGCACACTGCCCACAAAATGTGGTGGAAACTGAGCTGCACTTCCTAACCTCCTGCCAAATGTATGACCATATTAGAGACACATATTTCCCTCAGATTACACAGATCTACAATGAATTCAAAAACAAATCCAATTTTGATAAACTCCCATATCTATTGAGTGAAATACCATAGTGTGCAATCACAGCAGCAATATTTGTGACATGTTGCCACAAGAAAAGGGCAACCAGTGAAGAACAAACACCATTGTAAATACAACCCACGTTTATTTATTTTCCCTTTTGTACTTTAACTATTTGCACATCGTTACAACAATGTAACATTTGAAATGTCTTTATTCTTTTGGAACTTTTGTGATTCTAATGTTTACGATTCATTTTTTATTTTTTATTTCACTTTTGTTTATTATCTATTTCACTTGCTTTGGTAATGTAAACATATGTTTCCCATGCCAATAAAGCACTTACATTGAAATTGAATTGAAATTGAATTGATAAAGATAGAGAGGGAGTGAGAGAGAGCGAGACCAAGACAGAGACCAAGAGAAAAAGAGAGACAGAGACCAACAATGGCAGGAGAGTTTCACAGCCTACCCCACCCAAAGACAGAGGCTTTTGAAGCCCTCTCCCGCTGTTCAGTGATTATTACAGTACAGTACCCTCTGGATGTAAAAAATAAGAAGGCACGAAAAGAGTACAAAAAGAAGCTCCTTATGGAAAATCAAGAGACACTTTTAGCTGACTATTATAAAAATGGGAACATAAGCAACTTAATCTTCCACACTGACCATCCCCTGGCATGGCGCAGTGCTAGGGGGTGTTAGCGATGGGTGGAAACTCAGGATACTAGACAACGAGTACTCTGAGTCAGCCAATGTCAACCTGTATAAATCTGGAACAGTAATGGTACAGGGCAACCCCAAACAGTTTCAGCTGGACTTTCACATAATCAAAGAGATAGCTCAGCAGGATAAGCTCTCTCTTGAGAAAGATACCCCCACCCCAAGCGTGTCAGACCAGATCATTATACAACCCCACAGACGAGCAACCCCAAGCGGAAAGTCAACCTCCCAGCACAGAGTACTACTCCCTCATTGAAATGAAGGATACATTCACCCAGCTGGAGGTATGTCAGGTGGAGCTGGAACAGCAGGTGAACACATTCCAGTCAGCACAAAAAATTGTCCAGCTCAACAACACCCCCTCAACCAGACCCGGATAGCTGGAGGTGGAGAGAGACATATCTGGACTGTGGTGAGACAACATCAACAGGAGAAAGAGCAGGAGCAGGAGAAGAACAGAGCACTAGAGGAGAGGATCAGAGTGCTGGAGGAGAGGGTGATGGGATGGTGTGTGACAGAGAACAACCCATTAGAGCTGACCAAAGTCTCAACACCACAGCAGAAAAGTCCACCCCAGACAGCGGGACAGACAAATGAAGAACCGCAAGCCCAGGGGATCCCACCCCCTCTGAGCACCCCCCCGTCAGCCACCCTGATAGCCCTCCACCCTGCTACCATACAGCGGGTAAACGCAAGTATTTTCCACGACTGTGCCTCAAAACCAAATGTTTACCTGGCCCACCACTCCACCCTGGACTTGAACAGCCTTTACGACCAGGTCCACCTCTACAAGGCAGCAGTGCCCACCTTCACCTGGACCCTAAAGGACATCGCCCTCAACCGCAGCCCCAACACCTCACACAGGAGCTACAGATCAACAGACACCCCGCCCAGACCAGCGAGACACTCTCCCAGACCCCCTCCCGGACCTACACATAAAGGACCCACACCGAGAGGACCTACATCCAGACCAAATCACCACCAGCCACATCCACACCCCCACCCCAACCAATCAACACCCCCCCAAGTCAACCCATTTAGGCCCTCAGATCAGACCTATGCCCCTCCTGCCCACCCCATGCCTCCCACTCCCGCAAAGAGGGCCTCAACATGAAAGTCACACATACGCCCAGGCCGTGAGCAGGCCCAACCCCCACTCTTACACTAGTCCAAGCCAATGGCGTGTACCAGATGCTCAGCAGGCTCTGCTCACACTTACTGGTCTGAGGCCAAACCACACGACTAACAATACTGGACACTTTATGGAACACAAAGCCTTCACCAGCTCATCCTGGAATATCCCAGGCCTGAGGTCATCTTCCTTTGGCCTAAAGAGCAGGAACCTGGACTTAGTCATCCTACAAGAAACATGGTATAGATGGACCCACTGTTTTCCCTCTAGCTTACAGAGAGCTGGTAGTCCCATCCACCAAACTACCAGGTGCGAAACAGAGAAGGGACTCAGGGGGTATACTCATTTGGTATAGAGCAGACCTAACTCACTCTATTAAATTAATCAAAACAGGAAAATTTTACATTTGGCTAGAAATTCTAAAGGAAATTATCTCAACAGAGAATAATGTCATCCTGTGTGCTACCTATATCCCCCCACTAGAATCCCCATACTTTAATGAAGACAGCTTCTCCATCCTGGAGGGGGAAATCAATCATTTCTAGGCCCAGGGACATGTACTAGTCTGTGCGACCTAAATGCCAGAACTGGACAAGAACCTGACAACCTCAGCACACAGGGGGACACACACATACCTGGAGGTGACAGCATTCCCTCCCCCATATGCCCCCCTAGGCACAACTACGACAACATAACCAACAAAAACGGGTCACAACTCCTGCAGCTCTATCGCACGCTGGGTATGTACATAGTCAATGGTATGCTTTGAGGGGACTCCTATGGTAGGTATACCTATAGCTCATCTCTTGGCAGTAGTACTGTAAAAATCAAATCAAATTTTATTTGCCACATGTGCTGAATACAACAGGTGTAGACATTACAGTGAAATGCTTACTTACAAGCCCTTAACCAACAATGCAGCTTTTAAGAATTTAAAAAATATATATATATAATTAAAGAGCAGCACTAAAATAAAATAACAGTAGGGAGGTTATATACAGGGGGTACCGGTACAGAGTCAATGTGCGGGGGCACTGGTTAGTCAAGGTAATTGAGGTAATATGTACATGTGGGTAGAGTTAAAGTGACTATGCATAAATAATAAACAGAGTAGCAGCAGCGTAAAAGAGGGGGGTTGGGGTGGGGTGGGGGGGACAATGCAAATAGTCCGGGTAGCCATAATTAGCTGTTCAGGAGTCTTACGGCTTAGGGGTAGAAGCTGTTAAGAAGCCTTTTGGACCTAGACTTGGCGCTCCGGTACCGCTTGCCGTGCGGTAGCAGAGAGAACAGTCTATGACTAGGGTGGCTGGAGTCTTTGATAATTTTTAGGGCCTTCCTCTGACACCGCCTGGTATAGCGGTCCTGGATGGCAGGAAGCTTGGCCCCAGGGATGTACTGGGCCGTATGCACTACCATCTATAGTGCCTTGCGGTCAGAGGCCGAGTAGTTGCCATACCAGGCGGTGATGCAACCAGTCAGGATGCTCTCGATGGTGCAGCTGTAGAACTTTTTGAGGATCTGAGGACCCATGCCAAAGGGTCACCAAGGAACTTGAAGCTCTCAATCTGTTCCACTACAGCCCCGTTGATGAGAATGGGGGCGTGCTCAGTCCTCTTTTTTTTCCTGTAGTCCAAAATCATCTCCTTTGTCTTCATCACGTTGAGGGAGAGGTTGTTATCCTGGCACCACACGGCCAGGTCTCTGACCTCCTCCCTATAGGCTGTCTCATCGTTGTCGGTGATCAGGCCTAACACTTAATGATGGTGTTGGAGTCGTACCTGGCCATGCAGTCATGGGTGAACAGGGAGTACAGGAGGGGACTGAGCACGCACCCCTGAGGGGCCCCCGTGTTGAGGATCAGCGTGGCAGATGTGTTGTTACCTACCTTTACCACCTGGGGGCGGCCCGTCAGGAAGTCCAGGATCCAGTTGCAGAGGCAGATGTTTAGTCCCAGGGTCCTTAGCTTAGTGATGAGCTTTGAGGGCACTATGGTGTTGAACGCTGAGCTGTAGTCAATGAATAGCATTCTCACGTAGGTGTTCCTCTTGTCCAGGTGGGAAAGGGCAGTGTGGAGTGCAATAGAGATTGCATCATCTGTGGATCTGTTGGGGCGGTATGCAAATTGGAGTGGGTCTAGGGTTTCTGGGATAATGGTGTTGATGTGAGCCATGACCAGCCTTTCAAAGCACTTCATGGCTACAGACGTGAGTGCTACGGGTCGGTAGTCATTTAGGCAGGTTATCTTAGTGTTCTTGGGCACAGGGACTATGGTGGTCTGCTTGAAACATGTTGGTATTACAGACTCAGTCAGGGACATGTTGAAAATGTCAGTGAAGACACTTGCCAGTTGGTCAGCGCATGCTCTGAGTACACGTCCTGGTAATCCGTCTGGCCCTGCGGCCTTGTGAATGTTGACCTGCTTAAAAGTTTTACTCACATCGGTTACAGAGAGCTTGATCACATAGTCATCCGGAACAGCTGATGCTCTCATGCATGCTTCAGTGTTGCTTGCCTCGAAGCGAGCATAGAAGTGATTTAGCTCGTCTGGTAGGCTTGTGTCACTGGGCAGCTCGCGGCTGTGCTTCCCTTTGTAGTCTGTAATAGTTTTCACGCAGGATAAGAAAATTGACAACAATTACAAATGGTTTGATGAAGAATGCAAAAACCTAAGAAAGAAATTGAGAAACCTCTCCAACCAAAAACATAGAGACCTTGAAAACCTGAGCCTACGCCTTCACTGTGGTGAATCACTAAAACAATACAGAAATACACTACGGAAAAAGAAGGAACAGCATGTCAGAAATCAGCTCAATGTAATTGAAGAATCCATAAACTCTAACCTCTTCTGGGAAAATTGGAAAACACTAAACAAACAACAACATGAAGAGTTATCTATCCAAAATGGAGATGTATGGGTAAGCCACTTCTCCAATCTTTTTGGCCCTATAACAAAGAACAAACAGCAAAAACATATACATGATCAAATACAAATCTTAGAATCAATTATTAAAGACTACCAGAATCCACTGGATTCTCCAATTACATTGAATGAACTACAGGACAAAATACAAACCCTCCAACCCAAAAAGGCCTGTGGTGTTGATGGTATCCTCAATGAAATTATAAAATATACAGACCACAAATTCCAATTGGCTATACTTAAACTCTTTAACATCATCCTTAGCTCTGGCATCTTCCCCAATACACAAAAGGGGAGACAAATTTGACCCCAATAACTACTGTGGGATATGCGTCAACAGCAACCTTGGGAAAATCCTTTGCATTATCATTAACAACAGACTTGTACATTTCCTCAGTGAAAACAATGTACTGAGCAAATGTCAAATTGGCTTTTTACCAAATTACCGTACGACAGACCACGTATTTACCATGCACACCCTAATTGACAAACAAACAAACCAAAACAAAGGCGAAGTCTTCTCATGCTTTGTTGATTTCAAAAAAGCTTTTGACTCAATTTGGCATGAGGGTCTGCTATACAAATTGATGGAAAGTGTTGGGGGAAAAAACATACGACATTATAAAATCCATGTACACAAACAACAAGTGTGCTGTAAAAATTGGCAAAAAACACACACATTTCTCTCCACAGGGCAGTAGGGTGAGACAGGGATGCAGCTTAAGCCCCACGCTCTTCAACATATATATCAATGAATTGGCGAGGGCACTAGAACAGTCTGCAGCACCCGGCCTCACCCTACTAGAATCTGAAGTCAAATGTCTACTGTTTGCTGATGATCTGGTGCTTCTGTCCCAAACCAAGGAGGGCCTACAGCAGCAACTAGATCTTCTGCACAGATTCTGTCAGAACTGGGCCCTAACAGTAAATCTCAGAAATACAAAAATAATAGTGTTCCAAAACAGGTCCAGTTGCCAGGACTACAAATACAAATTCCATCTAGACACCAAAAACGATACATATCTCGGCCTAAACATCAGCGCCACTGGTAACTTACACAAAGCTGTGAATGATCTGAGAGACAAGGCAAGAAGGGCCTTCTATGCCATCAAAAGGAACATAAAATTCAACATACCAATTAGGATCTGGCAAAAAAAACTTGAATCAGTTATAGAACCCATTGCCCTTTATGGTTGTGAGGTCTGGGGTCTGCTCACCAACCAATAATTCACAAAATGGGACAAACACCAAATTGAGACTCAAACTTAAGAGATGAACCTGGAGAAGAGTCCCCTAAGCAAGCTGGTCCTGGGGCTCTGTTCACAAACACAAACAGACCCCACAGAGCCCCAGGACAGCAACAATATTAGACCCAACCACATCATGAGAAAACAAAAAGATAATTACTTGACACATTGAAAATAATTAACAAAAAAACAGAGCAAACTAGAATGCTATTTGGCTCTAAACAGAGAGTACACAGTGGCAGAATACCTGACCACTGTGACTGACCCAAACTTAGGGAAAGCTTTGACTATGTACAGACTCAGTGAGCATAGCCTTGCTATTGAGAAAGGTCACCGTAAGCAGACCTGGCTCTCAAGAGAAGACAGGCTATGTACACACTGCCCACAAAATAAGGTGGAAACTGAGCTGCACTTCCTAACATCCTGCCAAATGTATGACCATATTATAGACACATATTTCCCTCAGATTACACAGATCCACAAAGAATTTGAAAACAAACCAAATTTTGATACACTCCCATATCTATTGGGTGAAATAGCACAGTGTGCCATCACAGCAGCAATATGTGTGACCTGTTGCCACAAGAAAAGGGCAACCAGTGAAGAACAAATACCATTGTAAATATAACCCATATTTATGTTTATTTATTTTCCCTTTTGTACTTTAACTATTTGCACATAATATGACATTTGAAATGTCTTTATTCTTTTGGAACTTGTGTGAGTGTAATGTTTACTGCTGGAGGATTTTGCTTCAGCCGTGCCCTAAAACAACTAATTCTACGAATCAGTCGCTCCTGAGGACGTTGATTAGCTGAATCCAGTGTTTTACAAGTTTCAACAAATCTGAACAAAGTTGTGTAGCATTGACGTTTCGTAGAAGTGTGTGTGACTAGCTGAATCAGATGTTTTTTAAGTTTCATCAACACAGGCCTATGTAGGCATGGACATGATGTGTTCAGAGTGTGTATGTGTCTCTCTGTGTATATTGGTATTGGAGTGTTGCAGTGAGCATGGTATTGGATCACAGAGAGCGTTGGTTCATGCTACATCACAATTGTTTTGTTTGACACACAGCGTTAACACTTTGGCCATCAGAACTTTGTGTGTGTGTGTGCGTGCGTGCACGTGTGTGTCTGTGTGTGTGGGGTGTGCGTGTGTGTGTACATACGTGTGGGGTATGCGTGTGGGGTTTTTCTGTCTCAGCCTAGTCACCCGTCTCTTGTTGCTGGTATTTGGAGCAGCTCCTAAGATCAATGGAGTGAGGGGAGGTGTGTGTGTGAAGTGTGTGTGTGTGTGCACGTGCGTGCGTGTGTGTATTGGTCATTTTAAAGAAACATTACAATTCCATTCAGAGTTTTCTAATCTTCCTGTTATTGACCTTCTAGCTGGTTCCACTCTGCTGGGAATCACATGACATTACAACTATCAGGATTTGAATGAGCACCTAGTCTACCTCTGTATTCTCTCTCACGCTCTCTCTCCCTCCCTCTCTCTCTCTCTCTCTCTCTGTCTCTCTCTCCCTGTCTCTCTCTCTGTCTCTCTCCCTTTCTCTTTCTCTCTCTCTCTCTTTCTCTCTTTCCTTCTCTCTCTCTGGTGTTCTCTCTCTCTCTCTCATCAGTCCTCTCTCTTTCTCTGTCCCTCTCTTTCTCTGCCTGTCTGACTCTTTTATTTCATTTCCTCTAATATCCTTTCCTCTGCTCTAGTTGAATAATCTCCTCCTCATGATTAAAGGAAATGTACTACTTAAATCACACTACAAAGAATAGTTAGTGTTATGTTATTTTAATATCTCTCTCTCTCTCTCTCCCTTTCTCCCCCCCCCCCCCCCCCCCCCCCTCTCTCTCTCTCTCTCTCTCTCTCTCTCTCTCTCTCTCTCTCCCTCTCTCTCTGTCCCTCCCTTCCTCTCTCTGTCCCTCCCTCCCCTCCTCTCTCTCCCCCCCAGGCATTTCTCCTGTCTATCCTCTAAGTACATGTGTCCGGGGGTTCCGGCGGTGATGAGTAATCTGCTAGCCAACATCAACGCCTACTTTGCCCACACCACCACCGTCTCAACCAACATCTCTGCCTCTGACCGCTTCGCTGCATCCAACTTTGGGGTGAGAACACGCACGCACATACACGCACGCACACACACACACACACACACATAAACAAACACACACTCACTTACACACACTTCTCAGCTACATTGTTTATGGATATTTGAAAACATCTGACTATCATGAATATTGATAAGTATTGTAACTTTTTGATGTTGTATTAAAATGTATGTTTAAAATGCATTACGCTGGGTTTTTTGTTCCCTCGTCAACACAATATATTCCACCCTTTCAAATACCCCAAAAAATGCATTTATTAAATTAGAAGTTCAAAGTTAAGTTGAACTCACAGTGTGATTGCTTTACTAACGGAGATATCTATAAATCTGTTTTTCTCGCAGAGGGAGAAATTTGTCAAACTTCTAGATCAGCTGCACAACTCTCTGAGGATTGACCTGTCCAAGTACCGGGTATGTACTCCGTGTGTGTGTGTGTGTGTGTGTGTGTGTGTGTGTGTGTGTGTGTGTGTGCTAGTGTGAGTGCATCTGTGTTTGTGTCTGCGTAGGTCCGTGTGTGTGTGCATGTGTGTGTATTGTAGAGCGTTGTAAAACGGTGGGTGTCTGTGTATATTATGATTATCTGTCCAGGGGTTGTACCTAGAGATTAATGGTTGTAATGATTTATATCTCCAGGAGTCCTGTACACTAGTCCTGTTCACTAGTCCTGTACACTAGACCTGTACACTAGACCTGTACACTAGTCCTGTTCACTAGTCCTGTTCACTAGACCTGTACACTAGTCCTGTTCACTAGACCTGTACACTAGACCTGTACACTAGACCTGTACACTAGACCTGTTCACTAGACCTGCACACTAGACCTGTTCACTAGACCTGTACACTAGACCTGTACACTAGAGCTGTACACTAGTCCTGTTCACTAGACCTGTTCACTAGACCTGTACACTAGACCTGTACACTAGTCCTGTTCACTAGACCTGTACACTAGACCTGTACACTAGACCTGTTCACTAGACCTGCACACTAGTCCTGTTCACTAGACCTGTACACTAGTCCTGTTCACTAGACCTATACACTAGTCCTGTTCACTAGTCCTGACTGTACTGTACTGTCAATGGTTGAATTGTCTCTGAGTGGTGAAATTATGTGACATAAAAAACATTGGTTCCTGTGTGGTGATTGTTTTGTCCTTGCTGCTTCTGTGTGTTTCTGTGTGTGTGTGTGTGTGTGTGTGTGTGTTTCTGTGTGTGTGTGTGTGTGTCTCCCATTCAGTTTCAACTGTCATGTGTGATTATAGAGGCAAAGACAGAGAGCGGAGCAGGTTTTTCACTGTGCTTGGCTTTTCAGATTGCTGGTGTCGTGTTATTCACACATTGAATGAAAGCAGTCAGGAAATGTCACACTGTTTCTGACTGCTGCCGCTCCCCTTCTGCTCCCACATCAATTCACACACACACACACACACACACACACACACCTTGTCGTATAGTAATGGGATTCAGATCAGGCCAGTCAGTCTCTCCACTCGCTCGGCGTATGGATTTGTTCGTAATGATATTCTGAAGCAGATTGAGTTTGCTTTTCTCCCCCCCCTCTTTTTAAACGTATTCAACAGGGGAGTTAGAATATGCAGAGACTCAGTGTAACAGCTGATTTGTCCCTCTGTGATGTCCCCCGTCGGTTCTGCTGTCAGTGATTCACAGCAGGTGCTCAGGGATACGGAGTGTTGTGTCAGGCAGTGGCGGCTGGTGCCACTTTAAATCGGAGGACGGGCTCATTGTAATGGTTGGAATGGAATAAATGGAATGGTGATACAGTACCATTCACTCCTGATAGGATGTCTATTTAGGCTGCATGTTGAAGTAGACATTGAGGGATATACATTGAGAGATATAGGTTGTCTATTTAGGGTAGACATTCAGGTATATATATATTTAGGGTGAACTGAGGGATGTAGGATGTCAATTTAGCTGATTTGGCCCTCTGTGATGTCCCATGTTGGTTCTGGTGTCAGTGATGTACAGCACAGCAGGCGCTGAGGGAAAACAGGGTGCTGGTTTAGTTTAGGGTAGGGTGGACGTTGAAAGATGTTGGATGTTGTTTCATGGTAGAGGCTGAGGGATCTGGAATGTCTATTTAGGGTTATGTGATGATGGTTTATGGTAGACATTGAGTGATATAGATGTTGTTTACGGTAGATGTTCTTCGGGTAGACGTGAGGTCGTAATAGGTGTCTATTAGGTAACGTTGAGGTATATAAGATGTCTGTATAGCATTTGTGACATCTGATTAAAACAGGGCTTATAAAAATTGATTATGATTGTGATTGTTAGGTAGATGTGTTCAATAACGTGAGATATCGGACTTTTGTAGGAGGTTGTTTCAGGTAGGTTGAGGATCAGGATGTGTTTAGGTAGATGTTGTTTCAGGGACTTGAGGATATAAGGTTGTTTGGTAGGATTGTTTCAGGGTAGACTTGGTCTGTATATAATGTCATTTAGGTATGATTTTCATTTAGTAGGATGATATGAAGCGTTGTTCTAAGTAAGGACAATAAAGCTGCACACACAATACGCAGTTGGTAAACAATGGCGGAGAGGGCGGCCTCGCAACTAGCTCTTAGGAAATATTGCGGTATTTTGTTTTTTTATGTATTATGTTTTACATTATTAGCTCAGGAAATGTTTTGTGTCATTACAGCCGGGAAGAACTATTGGATATCAGAGTAGTGGTAGCTCACCAGAACTACCAGCATTACGACCAGGAATATTACCTCCCCGAGCAGATCCTTTGATTCCAGAGGCCGACCCAAAACATCGCCGGCGGAGGAGAGGCACTCGAGGCGGCCTGCTGGTTCGACTTAGGAGGCGCGCACACCACCCACCGCTTCCGAGTATATTACTCGCAAATGTTCAGTCTTTGGATAACAAAGTTTACGAGCTCAGGGAGACATCAGGGCCTGTAACATACTTTGTTTCACGGAAACATGGCTCTCTCGGGATACTCTGTCGAAATCGGTCCAGCCAGAGGGATTCTCAGTTCATCGCGCAGACAGGAATAAATATCTCTCTGGGAAGCAGAAGGGCGGAGGTGTGTGTTTTATGATTAACGACTCATGGTGTAATTGTAGTAACATACAGGAACTCAAGTCATTTTGTTCACCTGACCTAGAATATCTCACAATCAAATGCCGACCGTATTATCTCCCAAGAGAATTTTGCTATATTATAGCCATGGCCGTTTATATCCCCCCTCAAGCCGATACCACGACGGCCCTCAAAGAACTTCACTGGACTTTATGCTAACTGGAAACCACATATCCTGAGGCTGCATTCATTGTAGCTGGGGATTTTAACAAAACCAATTTGAGGACTAGGCTGCCGAAGTTCTATCAACATATCGACTGTAGTACTCGCGCTTCTAAAACACTCGACCACTGTTATTCAATCTTCCGGGATGCTTACAAGGCCCTCCCCCGCCCTCCTTTCGGCAAATCTGACCACGACTCCATTTTGCTTCTCCCTTCCTATAGGCAGACACTCAAACAGGAAGTACCCATGCTAAGGACTATCCAACGCTGGTCTGACCAATCGGAATCCACGCTTCAGGATTGTTTTTATCACGCGGACTGGGATATTTTCCTGGTAGCTTTCGAAAATAATTTAGACGAATACACTGATACGGTAACTGAATTTATCAGGAATTGTATAGGAGATGTCGTACCCACTGTGACTATTAAAACCTACCATAACCAGAAACCGTGGATAGATGGCAGCATTCGTGCGAAACTGAAAGCGCAAACCACCGCATTTAACCATGGCAAGTTGACTAGGAATATGGCAGAATACAAACAGTGTAATTATTCACTCCGCAAGGCAATCAAACAAGCAAAACGTCAGTATAGAGACAAAGTGGAGTCGCAATTCAACAGCTCAGACACGAAACGTATGTGGCAGGGTCTACAGACAATCACGGACTACAAAAGGAAAAGCAGCCACGTCGCCGAGACTGACGTCTTGCTTCCAGACAAGCTAAACACCTTCTTTGCCCGCTTTGAGGATAGCACAGTGCCACCGACGCGGCCTGCTACCGAGGACTGTGGGCTCTCCTTCTCCGTGGCCGACGTGAGTAAGACATTTAAACGTGTTAACCATCGCAAGGCTGCCGGCCCAGCCGGCATCCCTAGCCGCGTCCTCAGAGCATGCGCAGACCAGCTGGCTGGTGTGTTTACGGGCATATTCAATCTCTCCCTATCCCAGTCTGCTGTCCCCACATTCAAGATGGCCACCATTGTTCCTGTACCCAAGAAAGCAAAGGTAACTGAACTAAACGACAATCGCCCCGTAGCACTCACCTCTTTCATCATGAAGTGCTTTGAGAGACTAGTCAAGGATCATGTCGCCTCTACCTTACCTGCCACCCTAGACCCACTTCAATTTGCTTACCGCCCTAATAGATTCACAGACGATGCAATCGCCATCACTCTGCACACTGCCCTATTCCATCTGGACAAGAGGAATACCTATGTAAGAATGCTGTTCATTGACTATAGCTCAGCATTCAACATCATAGTACCCTCCAAGCTCATCATTAAGCTCGAGGCCATGGGTTTGAACCCCGCCCTGTACAACTGGGTCCTGGACTTCCTGATGTGCCCAGGTGGTGAAGGTAGGAAACAGCACCTCCACTTCGCTGATCCTCAACACTGGGGCCCCATAAGGGTGCATGCTCAGCCCCCTCCTGTACTCCCTGTTCACCCATAACTGTGTGGCCAAGCACGCCTCCAACTCAATCATCAAGTTTGCAGACGACACAACAGTAATAGGCTTGATTACCAACAATGACGAGACAGCCTACAGGGAGGAGGTGAGGGCTCTGGGAGTGTGGTGCCAGGAAAATAACCTCTCACTCAACATCAACAAAACAAAGGAGATGATTGTGGACTTCAGGAAACAGCAGAGGGTGCACCCCCCTATCCACATCAACGGGACTGCAGTGGAGAAGGTGGAAAGCTTCAAGTTCCTTGGCGTACACATCACTGACAAATTGAAATGGACCACCCACACAGACAGTGTGGTGAAGAAGGCGCAACAGAGCCTCTTCAACCTCAGGAGGCTTAAGAAACCCTCACAAACTTTTACAGATGCACAATTGAGAGCATCCTGTTGGGCTGTGTTACCGCCTGGTACAGCAACTGCACCGCCCGCAACCGCAAGGCTCTCCAGAGGGTGGTGCGGTCTGCCCAATGCATTACCAGGGGCAAACTACCCGCCCTCCAGGACATCAACCACCCGAGCCACTTCCTGTTCACCCCGCAATCATCCAGAAGGCGAGGTCAGTACAGATGCATCAAAGCTGGGACAGAGAGACTGAAAAACAGCTTCTATCTCAAGGCCCTCAGACTGTTAAACAGCCAACACTAGCACATTAGAGGCTGCTGCCTATAGACATAGACTAGAAATCACTGGCCACTTTAAGAAATGGAACACTAGCCACTTTAATAATGTTTACATATCTTGCATTACTCATCTCATATGTATATACTGTACTCTATACTATTCTACGGTATCTTAGTCACTTTAATAATGTTTACATATCTTGCAGTACTCATCTCATATGTATGTACTGTATTCTATACTATTCTACCGTGTCTTAGACCATGCCGCTCTGACATCGCTCGTCCATATATGTATATATTCTTAATTCATTCCTTACTTAGATTTGTGTGTATTGGGTATATGTTGTGAAATTGTTAGATATTACTTGTTAGATATTACTGCACTTTGATTTGATTTGATTTGATTTCGTGAATGTGTTTTGTCGATGATTAGCGACTGAGCGGAATTGATGCTTTCATACACGGTCTTTGAATCCAGATCTCTCTGGGGCTATGGCATGATCATTCTGGATTACGTTTGAGAGTGATTGACAGAGAGTTTGTGTGCGTCCCAAATGGCACCATATTCCATATGTAGTGCACTACTTTTGATGAGATCCGTATGGGCCCTGGTCAAAAGTAGTTCACTACCTAGGGAATAGGGTGCTTTATGGGATGCATATCTTCTGTTCATTTAGAGTTCATGTTGACTTTATGTAATGGACTCAGTAAAGAATCCACTGACATTTCCTCACCAGCCTACTCTAAAGCATCACTGGCAGTACAGCAAAACCTATTTAGTCCCGAGCAGGCAAATATCAGAACAGTTCCTCCTCAGCTCAGAGCACACAGATATCAGGCCAGTTTTAGACTGTCAAACACTGAGTAAGAATCTCAGTTATTGGTCTAATGGTTAGGGTTAGAGTTAGTGCAATCGTTAGGGTTGGTCTCAAGGTTACGTGTGTGTGTGTGTGTGTGTGTGTGTGTGTGTGTGTGTGTGTGTGCGTGCGTGCGTTAAAGAGAAGGGAGGGTGGGGGGCAGTAACGTTTAGTACACCAAGCATCTTTCCTCAGCCTATCAGGGTGCACATGTGTGTTGAACGCTCTCCTGTCACGGTGCTCTGAGCAGCCTGATGGTTCTATGTTCATGAATGGGAGGTTTCCATCACACAGGGCCATGGGGCCTTAACACTAAACGATGGGAGGTTTCCATCACACAGGGCCATGGGGCTTTAACACTAAACGACCAGACATCTAACTCGTTTAGTGATGATGGCTAGACGTGTCCCATCATCAATATCAATGTGTGAATGAATTATGAGACTGCGTGGGATACAGCGTTGTGAGACGAGAGGCCTTCAGCACCTGATCCCACCTTGAGGGCCGTACCCTACCAAGTTATAATACTGTATGTTTCCAGTGGCGGGAATAGACTGGCTGCTGTTTCCCTCTGTGAATCTGTTGGCTAGTGTTAGTTAGTTAGTTAGTTAGTTAGTTAGTTAGTTAGTTAGTTAGTTAGTTTAGTTTAGTTTTTGTTAGTTAGTTTGATAACAGCTTTTTATAGCTATTTCTTGTTGTCTACGACCCTCGTTTTATTATCCTAATACACACACTGTAGCACATTGGGATTGTTTTTAGATGAAAAGCTTGTTGCAAATTAAGAGCTCTATTCAATCTGTATCGCTGAAGCGTTCCAGGTTGCGCGATAGAAATGTAAAGGTAGCGTTTACCGTGAACGCAGTCTCCGCTAACGTGAGAGCATTGCCTTTCAATTTCAATCACGCTGCAACGCTGAACTTCAGCGATATAGATTGAATATAGCCTTAAATGTAGAGAGATGAAGAAAGAGAAGTAGAGCAGTAGAGAGAGAACCAATCTCTTCATTATTTTCTCCTGCAGGATAATTTCCCAGCTGGTAACCCAGAGCGTCTCCAGGACCTGAAGTCTACTGTGGACCTTCTCACCAGCATCACCTTCTTCAGGATGAAGGTATGTATACACTGTGTGTGTGTGTGTGTGTGTGTGTGTGATGAGATGAGGGTGAGGGCTCAGTCCGACGTGACAATGGCGGTGTAGTAAGTGCTATGAATGGAATAGGGTGCCATTGTATTCTTGACCAATCTGTAGAGAGCTTTAATGTATGTGTGAGCCACTCCCAGTTTATTGTAGTAGAAGCGTGCTTATAAATGAATTGGCATATTAGTGAATTTACTGCTTGCCTTTACAGTGTTAGTCAATACTGATTATGGTCATAAACAGGCCTCCCACACAACACATACACACACACACACACACACACACACACACACATATACACTACCAGTCAAAAGTTTGGACACACCTACTCATTCAAAGGTTTTTCTTTATTTTTACATTGTAGGATAATAGTGAAGACATCAAAACTATGAAATGACACATATGGAATCATGTAGTAACCAAAAAAGTGTTTAACAAATCAAAATATACTTTATATTTTAGATTCTTCAAAGTAGCCACCCTTTGCCTTGATGACAGCTTTGCACACTCTTGGCATTCTCTCAACCAGCGTCATGAGGAATGCTTTTCCAACAGTCTTGAAGGAGTTCCCACATATGCTGAGCACTTGTTGGCTGCTTTTCCTTCACTCTGCGGTCCAACTCATCCCAAACCATCTCAATTGGGTTGAGGTTGGGTGATTGTGGAGACCAGGTCATCTGATGCAGCACTCCATCACTCTCCTTCTTGGTCAAATAGCCCTTACACAGCCTGGAGGGGTGTTTGGGTCATTGTTCTGTTGAAAAACAAATTATAGTCCCACTAAGCGTAAACTAGGTGGGATGGCGTATCGCTGCAGAATGCTGTGGTAGCCATGCTGGTTAAGTGTGCCTTGAATTCTAAATAAATCACAGACAGTGTCACCAGAAAAGCACCATCACACCTCCTCCTCCATGCTTCACGGTGGGAACCACACATGCTGAGATCATCCGTTCACCTACTCTGCGTCTCACAAAGACACAGCGGTTGGAACCAAAAATCTAAAATCTGTCCATTGCTCATGTTTCTTGGCCCAAGCAAGTCTCTTCTTCTTATTGGTGTCCTTTAGTAGTAGTTTCTTTGCAGCATTCGACCATGAAGGCCTGATTCACGCAGTCTCCGATGAACAGTTGATGATGAGATGTGTCTCTTACTTGAACTCTGTGAAGCATTTATTTGGGCTGCAATCTGAGGTGCAGTTAACTCTAATGAACTTATCCTCTGCAGTAGAGGTAACTGGGTCTTCCTTTCCTGTGGCGATGAGAGCCAGTTTCATAATAATAATAATAATAATAATAATATGCCATTTAGCAGACGCTTTTATCCAAAGCGACTTACAGTCATGCGTGCATACATTTTGTGTATGGGTGGTCCCGGGGATCGAACCCACTACCTTGGCGTTACAAGCGCCGTGCTCTACCAGCTGAGCTACAGAGGACCATCATAGATTGATGGTTTTTGTGACTGCGCTTGAAGACACTTTCAAAGTTGTTGAAATGTTCCGTATTGACTGACCTTCATGTCTTAAAGTAATGATGGACTGTCGTTTCTCTTTGCTTATTTGAGCTGTTCTTACCATAATATGGACTTGGTCTTTTACCAAATACGTCTATCTTCTGTATACCACCCCTACCTTGTCACAACACAACTGATTGGCTCAAATGCATTAAGAAGGAAAGAAATTCCACAAATTAACTTTTAAGAAGGCACACCTGTTAATTGAAATGCATTCCAGGTAACTTCCTCATGAAGCTGGTTGAGAGAATGCCAAGAGTATGCAAAGCTGTCATCAAGGCAAAGGGTGGCTACTTTGAAGAATCTCAAATATAAAATATATTTTGATTTGTTTAACACTTTTGGTTACTACATGATTCCATATGTGTTATTTCATAGTTTTGATGTCTTCACTATTATTCTACAATGTAGCAAATAGTAAAAAATAAAGAAAAACCCTTGAATGAGTAGGTGTGTCCAAACTTTTGACTGGTACTGTATATAGACACACACACACACACACACACACACATTACACATCACACACACATACATTGCTCGTCCAAATATGTATATATTCTTCATTCCATACCTTTACTTTAAATAAGTGTGTATTGTGTGTATTGTTGTGAATTTGTTAGATATTACTGCACTGTTGGAGCTAGAAACACAACCATTTCGCTACACCCGCAATAACATCTGCTAAACGTGTATGTGACCAATTTGATTTGATATACACACACACACATATACACACTAAACTGTTTACACACACACTCACCCTCACACATTAAGCAGAAACACTGATTATTCTGTTCATTCTTTCTGTAGATGTATCCCATCTGAGCAGGGAGCAGCAGCAAATAATATACTATGAGATATGTCTGTCTCAATGCCCCACAAGTCATCTAGACGGATTTATGTTCCTCCATTCTGATGACAGTAACCATACTGATGACAGTTATCCATACTGATGACAATGATCCATACTGATGACAGTTTTCCATACTGATGCCAGTTATCCATACTGATGACAATAATCCATACTGATGACAGTTATCCATACTGATGACAATTATCCATACTGATGACAGTTTTCCATACTGATGCCAGTTATCCATACTGATGACAATAATCCATACTGATGACAGTTATCCGTACTGATGACAATTATCCATACTGATGGCAATTATCCATACTGATAACAGTTCCATACTGATGGCAATTATCCATACTGATAACAGTTATCCGTACTGATGACAATTTTCCATACTGATGACAGTTATCCATACTGATGACAATTATCCATACTGATGACAGTTATCCATACTGATGGCAATTATCCATACTGATAACAGTTATCCGTACTGATGACAATTATCCATACTGATGACAGTTATCCATACTGATGACAGTTATCCATACTGATGACAGTTATCCATACTGATGACAGTTATCCATACTGATGACAGTTATCCGTACTGATGACAATTATCCATACTGATGTCTGATGTTACACACTCTGTTGATTGTCTAAGTGACGTGTGTGTGTGTGTGTGCGCGTGTGTGCGCGTGTGTGCGCGTGCGCGTGTGTGGGTGTGCGCGTGTGTGGGTGTGTGTGTGAAGCGTTTTAACCACCCTCTCTCCCAGAGCAATCATCGCCCTGTAATCCCCTCCCCCAGTTCCCAGACTACACGCTGATTTATCTAGGTTTATAAAAAGCCCAGTGCTCTGCTTCATACACACACACATACACACACGTGCATGCACACACACACCCATACACCCATACACACACACACACACACACACACACACACACACACACACACACACACACACACACAAAGAAACCGGTCGACACACACGCACGCAAACACACACACACACAGACACTGTTGGACTCCCACTCCCACTCCCACTCAGGAAGGCTGTGTGGTTGTGTGTGGCGGATGTACAGAGAATGGAGTGGCCAGGCGTAACTAAGATGGCAGCTGAAAGAAAGATGACGTGAGGGGAAGAATGAGAACTGTCCCTCTGTGTTACAGACGCTTTCACTCCCACTTCCAGCCACCCTGCACATTAAGGAAAAGGAAAGGGGATACCTAGTCAGTTGCACAACTGAATGCATTCAACTGAAGTGTGTTCAACCAAAATGTGTATCCCAACCCCTCTGACTCACACACATACGAATTCTCCTGAACACACAGACAGTATACAGTATACAGCAGGTTTCAAAGATTTACGGATAGCGAGGTTTATTTCAATTATTTGCAGATGTATTCCTTATTATTTACCATTCTAAAGGTTTAACATTAAAATGTGTGTGCATGTGCACATCAGTGTGTGTGCTTGTGCGTGTGTGTGTGTGTGTGTGTGTGTGTGTGGTGTGTGTGTGTGTGTGTGTGTGTGCGTGTTTTGACTTTGTCCCTGTCTGTATTGCAGGTACAGGAGCTACAGAGTCCTCCCAGAGCCAGTATGGTGGTGAAGGACTGTGTCAGAGCATGTCTGGACTCAACATACAAATACATCTTTGACAACTGTCATGAACTCTACAACCAGCTGCTAGACCAGGTAAGACAGACACTATATCAGTCCTATATTAAATCCTATATCAGTCCTATATACACTGAGTGTACAAAACATTAGGAACACCTTCCTAATATCGAGTTGCACCCCCTTTTGCCCTCAGAACAGCCTCAATTTGTCAGGGCATGGACTCTACAAGGTGTTCGAAAGTGTTCCACAGGGATGCTGGCCCATGTTGAATCCAATGCTTCCCACAGTTGTGTCTAGTCGGCTGGACCATTCTTGATACACACGGGAAACTGTTGAGCGTAAAAAAGCCAGCAGCATCGCAGTTCTTCACACACTCAAACTGGTGCACCTGGCACCTACTACCATACCCCGGTCAAAGGCACTTTTGTCTTGCCCATTCACCCTCTGAATGGCACACATACACAATTCATGTCTCAATTGTCTCAAGGCTTAAAAATCCTTCTTTAACTTGTCTCCTTCCCTTCATCTACACTGATTGAAGTGGATTTAGTGACATCAATAAGGGATCATAGCTTTCACCTGGATTCACCTGGTCAGTCTATGTCATTGAAAGAACAGGTGTTCCTAATGTTTTGTACACTCAGTGTAGGTCCTGAGTTGATATCAGTGCTATATCGTCCCTCTATCAGTCCTATGGTGCACTACAGGAGGTAGTGTGTTCTGTCTAACAGAGAGGTAATGTCCTTCAGGTCTGTAACAGTCATGTCTACCTGTTCTGTAACAGTGAGGTAATGTCCTGCTGGTCTATAACAAGGAGTTTATAACTGTAGAAGTTGAAAAATAATCTTCCTTTGTAGAAACAGCCTGAGGGGTTTTTAGCAATTACCCAGCAGAGGGATAGATACTGCCACTAATTACAACTCAGTTTAACGCACTCACAGACCAGACACACACTCCATCAACACACACACACATACACACTAGTTGACCAGAAACACACTCCATCAACACACACACACACACTTATAGACCAGACACACACTCCATCAACACACACACACACACACTTATAGACCAGACACACTCTATCAACTCACTCAAACACACATTTACACACACACACACCTATATACAGGACACACTCTTCATCAACACGAACACACAGAATGGACAAACACTAGTCACCACTACATCAACACACACACATCTCCTCTCCTCTCCTGGAGCTAACCTCAACACACACACATCTCCTCTCCTCTTCTGGAGCTAACCTCAACACACACACATCTCCTCTCCTCTTCTGGAGCTAACCTCAGGGTGGTGGATTACTTTATATTAATATTACAGCCTGCCTTTGTGCCACTGTGGATATTTCCCATAAAAGACGTCCATTGTGTTGTCTTGCCTGCCCTCATTCTCTCACTGGAAATACCACCGTCCAACCAGAGGCTGATTATGTAATGCTACAAAGCACTCTGAATGGGAGAGAGAGGGGGAAGGAGGGAGGTAGGGAAGGAGGGAGGGGGGAGGAGGTATGGAAGGAGGGAGGGGGGGGAGGAGGCAGAGAGGGTGGGAAGGAGGGAGGGAGGGGAGATAGGGAGGGAGGGAGGAGGCAGAGAGGAGGGAGGAGGCAGAGAGGGTGGAGGAGGGAGGGAGGGTTGGAGGTAGGGAGGGAGGATGGAGGGAATGGGGAGGAATGGAGGAAGTGAGGGAGGAGGGAGTGGAGAGAGGGATGGATGGAGGGAATTGGGGGAGGGAGAGAGGGGTGAGGGAGAAAGAAACAAAGGGAAGGAGGGAGTGGGGAAGGGCGGGAGGGAGAGAAGGCATGGAGGCATCAGGGAGAGGGAGGAGGGAGAGCTTTAACATTCCCCTAAAGCCTGGCAGAGATGGAGGGATTTAAAAAGAGAGCAGTGAAAGAAGGAAACAGAGCAGGTGAAGAAAGAGAGAGTCATTTAGGTCCAAATTCTCTCCATTGGAATTCAGTCACTGTGGAGGAAGCAGGAGAGATGTCCAGTACTGCATGTCTCTGTAGATACACTGTAGGCAGACATGACTACACTCACACTCACACATACAGCTCTCTAAAATTATCTGCATCCATTTCTGCATTTCTTCTGCTGTCTCTCTCTCTCTCTCTCTATCTCTCTCTCTCACACTCTCACACACTCTCTCACACACACACTCTCTCACACACACACAGCTCTCTAAAATTATCTGCATCCATTTCTGCATTTCTTCTGCTCTCTCTCTCTCTCTCTCTCTCTCTCACACACACACAAATGGACACACACACACACACACATTATGGCCGATTGATAGGAGTGCAGGCCTGGCTGTGTAGTGTGTATTATAAGGCTTTATTGACTGTTGAACTGTTCAAGTGTATGTTCAACACTGTGAGGATCACATTAGCATGCATGTGTTACTCTGTTTGCCTGCATGTTACAACACACCATGAGTCTCATGTATAGTCATACCACACACACACACACACACACACACACACACACACACACACACACACACACACACACACACACACACACACACTGATAGTCTTATCACATGTGTAGCTGATCGGATGCGCTAAGGCCAAATCAAGGGGTTACTGGTTAAAATTCCTCTTGGCTCCAGTTTCATTTAATTTATACAGGTTATTCTCACTTCGATATAATCAGTGACATAGGCAGAGGGTTACTGGTTAGAATCCCATCTAGCTGCAGTGAGCCAGTCATCAAATTGGTTGTTTTTGCTTATGAGATATGAGTGACTGTCACGATCGTTGGAGGAAGTGGACCAATGCGCAGCGTGATAAGTGAACATACTTCTTTATTTAGAGTACCACAACGAACAAAACAACAAAACGATACGTGAAGTCCTTAGTAACAGCCACAAACCATACACGGAACAAGATCCCACAAACACTGTGGCAAAACAGGCTGCCTAAGTATGGTTCCCAATCAGAGACAACAATCAACAGCTGATTCACGTTGCCTCTGATTGAGAACCACACCGGCCAACATAGAAAACACATCAGCTAGATAATGAACCTAGAACACAAAATCATAGAAAACTACACACCCTGGCTCAACATAACAGAGTCCCAGAGCCAGGGCGTGACAGTGACGTCAGTCCCCCTGTCTGTTACTGTCTCCTTTAGGTGTTTGAACTGTTTCCTACAGTGTTGATTCTCTGTCTGTTTGTCCAGATGTGTAAACAAACTGTTGGCCTGTGTTTGCCATCCAGATGAATGATACAGCTTCTGAGCGAGTTGGGGTGCGTCCCAAATGGCACTCTATTCCCTATATAGTGCACTACTTTTAGTAGTAGTACTACTTTTAGTAGTGCACTATATGAGTATATAGCGTGCCATTTGGAACTCAGCTTTGGTTTGTTAATGGAAAAACGGTCATCACAGTTTGGAATACTGATCATGGTTGGTACAGCACTGCTAGTTCTCCTGGAATCCGTTGGTTACACACTGGTGAAACAGAGTATATCAGTTTGAATTTCAGTCTACAAAACTGCCTCACAGTTCATGCAGAGACAGAGGCTACATGGGTCTCAAATTACACTCATATGCCCTATGTAGTGCACCATAATGAGGCAGCCCAAATGGCTCTGGTCAAAGTAGTGCACTACAGGAAAGGATGTGATTTGAGATTTGCTCTAGATGAAGGGATTCTTGTGAATATCGATAGTATGATTAGCATGCTACTATAGTGCTGGTGATTTGGTCCCCAAATATCAAATTAGTCAAAGTAGATGGATCAGATGTTTGAGAGGGGCTTCAATCCCACACAATGTATGTAGGCCTATAATCCTTCACAAAGGAAAGAGAGCACACACAGAAGAGAAAAATGGATTTCAATCTCAATAGTTCATTCATTGATTGAGTTTACAGAGCCAGGTAGCACGAAGAAACTCAGTGTTTTCGAGTGCTTTTGTTTAGGGTGTACTGGTCCTGGTCCACTTGAATAGATATGCTTAAATTGAAGTGAATGGATTAACTAATACTTGTTAGGGATATAAATGTTGGTCTCTGTTAGTCCCACAGCCCAAAGAAAGACAGTATGTATTTTTACACTATCTTTCCAGTGAAGAGAGGGGTTACAGAGCTAGCCACGAAACCCAATGCTTCTTGATTGAAAACAGGAAAAGCACTTTGAGTCGGCTTGCTGCAGGTGCATGGGAATAATTCAATGAAATCTTTGAAGAAAATAAAGACCTACACGCTGCTCTTGCCAATCTCACTTAGGTGGTTTATTCAGCTTTTCTTCAAGGATGTACTGCTGGTGCTAGACACAATAATCATAAAATAGATAGATACAATAACCCATGTTTACATTCACTATTAACTGTGCATACATGTTGACCTCTGCTGGTGGTTAATCCCCCATCCCAAAGAAGGCTGTATGATCAAAGGCAGATCTTTTAAGATACGTTTAGGGTTTAATTGACATGTTAAACACATGTTGGACTCTACCTGGGGGTTGGTTTGTCCCCCATCCCAAAGAAGGCAGATCTCAGTAAAGAGGGAGGGCAGACCTCAGCTTTAACACACTGGTGCTGCACGCATATCTAACCTTTATTTATACAGGTTACATGCTGTTATCCAGAGCGATTTACAGTAGTGAGTGCATACATTTTCATACTAGTCCCCCATGGGAATCGAACCCACAACATTAGCATTGCAAGCGCCATGCTCTACCAATTGAGACACAAGGGACCCAATGAGATTAGCCTCATTGAGTTGAAATCTATTCTACCAGAGAGACCTGTTCATTTAAATGTGAACTTAAATTAATGGATTATACTATTGAGGATACATGTTGGCCTCTTGTTGGTTTGTCCCCCAGACAAAGGAAGGCAGTCATGTTGGCCTCTGGTTGGTTTGTCCCCCAGACAAAGGAAGACAGTCATGTTGGCCTCTGGTTGGTTTGTCCCCCAGACAAAGGAAGGCAGTCATGTTGGCCTCTGGTTGGTTTGTCCCCCAGACAAAGGAAGGCAGTCATGTTGGCCTCTGGTTGGTTTGTCCCCCAGACAAAGGAAGGCAGTATGACAAAGGCAGATAT